CCGCCGAGAGGCTTAGCCGAGCGGGAGACGTGGCGTGTAAAACGGCACATGCCGGAACAAGGTTGTCGCGTAGCCATGCGTCGTGACGCAGGGCTGTCATCATTTGGAAGAGGCACAATGCTTGAGTGTTCAGCAGCAAGTGTTGGAGGTGCATCTTGGTCAAGAACGCGGCTCGTTGGGCGGCTGCCGCAGGCGTCACAAGGAGCGCCTCGGGGCGAAATACTCGGTCGTTGCGGGCAAGCCAGACGGTGTGGAGCACGCACGCTCGGAGGATCGGCCACATCATGGCCACGGCGCGCCAACGGTAGCGTTGGGCTTTCACGAGCGGTTCAAAGAGGAGCGCGGAAAGCGTCGTGAGAAGTTCGAGCTCGAGGGCGTCGATGAGCGGCTGAAAGACCGCCCACACGGCAGTGACAAATTCGCAACGAAGCAGAAGATGGTCGTACGTCTCGAGGTCGCCGCAGACGGGACAGACTTGGGCGTCATCGGCCAGAAAGTAGAGCCAGGAGCGGATCGCGACGGCGCCAAGCACCACACGGTACATGAAATCGGCGTATCTCGGCAGGATGTGCTCGGGTTGGCGGTACTCGACTGCGGCAGCCACCATGGCCGGCGTGGCATAGTGGTCGTCGGGGAGCTGCAGATACCTCGAAGGGAGGAGGCACTGGGCCGCGACGTCGTGGCGGACAGCAGAGGTTCTTGCTCCGCGTCGCAAAGACGTTGCCGTCGCACCGGGCAATGTCCGAGTACAACGTGGTACACATCGTAGCACTTGGCGCCGTCGCAAGCAAAAGTCCTGCGCACGAGCTCCGAGACGTCGATTCTCGTGAGATGGCACTGTTCAGAGCGGGCGGGATGAGCATCTCAGACCGCAGGGGACTTGCATCGGTCAACCGCGTCGCCCCCATTGATGCCTCCGAGGTCCTTGAGAGCCATATCGATCAATCATGAACTCGCTTGATTGTTCCAGACGATGCGATACGCTGTTGTTGAGGACTCAACATTTCCTGATCTTGGGCAGGTCGTACGGTAGTAGGCCAGAGCCGAGAAGACCTCTGCGAACTGATGCCTGTGAGACTAGGCATAGGTCTATCAATGAAGACGAGGAAGTCATCGATGCAGAAGCGTGCTCTCGACACAACCTCGAGCCGTCGCTCGCTTGTGTAATGGGCACTCGTAGGCCAGGACGGGGCGCGGTGCTTGTCGACTTGGGAAGGAACTTCTAGGCCTATATTCTCCACAAAACTAACGGTCTGGGTTTAGTCTTACCCATGAGCAATCACGAATCCCGCACACCATATTGGGACAAACAAGCGCCCGCTTTGGGCTATATCAGATATATGCGTCGTTGCAAAGTCCCATCTTTTTTACAGTTAGTAAAACCCATTCTAATGGTGTAAATCCCACAATGTCCCAAAAACCCATTGAAGGAAACTTGCCGAACACGCGGCTTGATAACCAACGCGTGATCACACATGTGGTACCAGATGGCGGCTGATTGCTCTTCCAAATGAACGGCCGCGGCGCCTTTGGTCGCTGCGTACCGTTTACACAACTGTTCAAGTCCGAAAACGTCGAAAATGCGATGCTCTAAGTTGCTCTCAGAACTAGCACCAGCTTAGCGCGCGCCTCGTGCAAGCGACGACGTCATGCGTAGTAGCGTCGACCCCTGTGTCGAGGTTGTGCGATGATAATGTTACCCACCCGCAATAACTCATCAATTGCTAACCCCCTGCCAGCTGGGTTTGGATTATGGGCGTCAAGCGTCTTCCGAAAGCAGAGCAATTCGCATATGAAGTACTTGGGCACTTGAACCAACCAATCGTCGTACGTAATTGTCTGGTAATTGTACGTTTTGTGGGAATCAGAGCGATCGTAATGAAACGCTCGTCATCCATACAAAACGCAAGATGTTTGGCAGCCTCGGACCGATCTGGCTCCTCCCGAAGCTCGGAAACACGGCGCCGATCGTGATAACGCAGAGGTCATTTCAGAATCTGCCGTCAATGACGCACCCGTCCCCGACCACCGCGCTCTCAGCGCAGGAGAAGAAGATCCGCCGGCGCGTGCAGTGCAAGATGAACATGCGCTGCTACCGCGAGCGGCGGAAGCGCAACGTGTCCAACCTCGAGGACGCGATCGCGACGCTCAATGCGCAGATCGACGCACTCGCCGCGCAGAAGCGGGCGCTCGAGGTGCATCGGCCGCTGTCGTTCTACGCCGAGCACTCGGCGCCGATGGCGCTGACGATGCAGTATAAGAACATGATGTCGCAGGGCGGCTTTGGCCCGACGCAGGAGGCCTTCTTCCGGTCGACCTTCTCGCCGGACTTTATGGCCCACGGCCGGACGCTCGACGACTTTATCAGCATGTGGTACCGCGTCGGCCAGTTCTTCGCGCAGCCCAACCCGCTTCTGGCCATGGCGCCCGTCCGCGCCAACATCGTGCGCTTCGAGATCTCGCTGCACGTCGAAATCACACGGCCATTGCTTGAGGCGTGTTTCGGCTACATCCTCGAGCATGAGGACGAGGCCACGATCGACGAGCTCGCGGGCGGCGGCTACGCGATGGACACGATCATGGAGCGCATCTTCTACTTTGACCAGCTCGAAGACGGACGCTACGTGATTTCGGGGTCGTCCTGCGGCGACAACCGCGCGGCGGTCATGGCGTCGCTCGTTGCGCATGCGCAAGAAACGGCGCGCGCCAAGGGGCCCGGCGTGCTCTCGATCACACATTTGCTGCATGTAAGTTAAGTTGACTGTAGTAATCTTAAGCGTGAGTACGATCGCCTTGCGTGAACATCGTTCGACGATTACGCGCATTTGACTGTCGCTTCGCTGCACAGTTGCCGCGACTGCGTGGCTATGGCAGATCGTGTTAGCTCGACAGGCTCGCGCGTGTCACGTAGTGTAGTGGACTCGCCCTCGACCAGTCAGCGGCCTCCGAGCTCCATCGTCATCACTGGATCTGGCTCACTCAAAGACGCCGTGTTGCCGCGAATCAAGAGCAGCTGCTTTCACCGAACCGCGACGCCGGCGCGTCTACCGGTACCGGTAATGGCACGTGCCCTCAAGCTTCGAGCGACCGAAGGAGCCAAGAAGCGACGTTGATGGCCTCTGGATCGCAGGTTCTACGTGACGTCGTGTTCAATGTCATGTAATGAACACCTTTGTTGATCAAATGGGCTGCTATAAATCCGAGTACGCTTAGCCTTTCTTGCGGTATTCTTCTCGTGTCCACGTTGGCGCCATTCCCAGGCGAGCGAGCCAGGTGAGCGTGTTGCGATCCTCTGTGCAGAGCCTTCGACGACATGATTGGCTCACTGGTATTTCTTTTAACCAATCACAATGTGCCCCATATATCCACAAAGATCCGGATACGAACAAGGTTACTAGCAGCAAATCGAACATACACCATTTACCGACCAACTATCGAGCAGAATGCGTATTGTCGGTTTGCTATAGGCCAGGCCGCAAGTGATGCATTAGAAGTATATGCTTCCAGCTTAACGAGTGAGACTGTGCTTCTAGAAGACATGTACGTAAGCTGTCGCTGGAGCTCCACCGTATGAAGGCCTGCAACACACCGCCAAAAATGTAACACTATTTGAAGTCGAAATGGTGCTGCAGGCACACACTATGATTGGCCAAAATGGTGCGATTACCCGCCATTGAGCGCCGTGGGCCGATGCCATTGGCCGAAATAAGTGGGGCTAATTTTACCCATGCCAAGTGGCATTAAGCCGACGTCGCTACATGCTGCCGATCCTCGGGTTCGGGTCATCGCAGAAACGGAAGCCCAGCTACGACGCCGAAGCCGCTTGGAAGACGACGCCTGTCTCTGCCTCTATGCACTGGTACGACCGCACGACTGTGCGCTACGCGCTCCTCGCCATGCTCGGCCTTGCGCTCTTCCTCTCGGTGGCCACGACCGTGCCGTCGGCGATTGCAGTCTCGTCGTCGCACTTTCGCCGGCCTAGCTACACGCCATCGCCGCCATTGATCGACTACAAGCACTTGCCGACGTCGTTCGAGTTCGGCATGGTCGCGGACCTGGACAAGCAGAGCCGTGTCAAGGGCGACGCCAAACCTCGCTTCGAGTCCATCTTCCAACGAGCGATTCTCAAGCGCCATGTGGACGGCAGCGACGGGAGTCGCTCCACGGGCGAGCTCGCATCCTCGTACTCGGTGACGTTCCGGGAGAGCGAGACGTTCTCGACGACGCTCAACGAGGCCGGGCGCGGCTTTGAGCTCAGCGAGCTCGCGTGGTTCCAGGGCCACTTGCATTCGTTTGACGACCGGACCGGCATTATCTTTCGGCTGGAACACTTTGGCTTTAACGACCCGGCGCCGATGGCGGCTGTCCCGACGCACATCATCATGGAGGGCAACGGCGCGACGGACAAGGGCCAGAAGCACGAGTGGGCGACCGTCAAGAACGGCGAGCTCTACATCGGCAGCATCGGGAAGGAGTTCACGTCCGACGGCGAGATCGTGCACGAGCACAACATGTGGGTCGCGATCGTCGGCCTCAACGGCGCCGTGCGCCACGAAGACTGGTCCCACCGCTTCGCCAAGGTCCGCGCCAAGCTCGGCTGCGCGTACCCCGGGTACGGTGTCCTCCATCTTTGTCTGCCATCGGACCTTATTGCACTAGGTATGTGATCCACGAGGCCATCGAGTGGAGCCCGGTGCACGAAAAGTGGTTTCTCTTGCCTCGGCGCGTCTCGAGCGAGCCGTACGACGACATGGCCGACGAGAAGCGCGGCGCGAACGTCATGGTGATCGCATCTGACGACTTTGAGGAGCTCAGCGTCGTGTACATTGGCGACGGCGTTATCGCGCGCGAGCGAGGGTTCTCGAGCTTCAAGTTCGTGCCGGGTACGAAGGACGCGGTGATTATCGCGCTCAAGAGCATGGAGAACGAAGCGCTGCAGCTCCAAGGCGCATACGTGACGGTCTTTGACGTGCAAGGCAACGTGCTCATGCCCGAGACGCCGCTGCCGGGCCAGTCCAAGTTTGAAGGCCTCGCGTTCCTCTACGACTATTGAATAGCGATGACCATAATATAGACGCAGTGGCGTGTTCAAACGAAGAAATTCACTCTTTATAAACACATACTAGTAAATGTTAGGCGTCGGGCTCGAGGAAGACGGCGTCCATGGCCCGGCGGTCGTGCTCGTGCGCGGCGGCCTTGGCGGCGAGGAAGTTGTGCCAGCGCGCGCGGCCGCCACAGATGACGTACCAGCGGTAGAAGCTGGCCACGCCGACGAGAAGGCCGAGCGTCAGGAGGCTGCCGAGCACGAGGCCCGCGACGCCGGCGTCGTAGAGGAAGACGAGGGCGATGACGAGGGCGGGTAGGAGCATGTAGGTCGCGCCGATGAAGACCATCGCCGCCATCGGCCACTGCGCGCTGTAGGCGCCGATGGCCTCGGCGCAGCCCAGCACCGGGCGGCGCGTGATGGGCACCACGTAGAAGAGCAGGACGCCCGCTATGTTGAAGAGGATGTTGACGAGCGCGACGTTGCCGGCCTCCTTTTACCCGTGACGGCGGCGGCGAGAAGCCCCGAGACGGTCGCCCCGAGGTTGGAGCCGAGCACGAGCGGGTACACCTGGTCGAGCGAGATGACGTTGAGCCCTGCGAGCGGCGTCAGCGTCGACGTCAACGCGGTCGACGAGTGCAGGAAGAACGTCAGGAGAATGCCAATGACAATGTTGACGTAAGCGTTCCAGCCGAGGACGCGGCGGATCACGGCGGCCGTCGCGTTGCGGAAGAGGTGCGTCATCGCAAACACCATCCCGATGAGTGCGACCACGAGCACGACGAGCCCGAGTACGAGCGTGAGGGTGCCGGCGGTGGCGTTCGAGACCGAGTGCATCGCGCCACCCAGCACGAAGCGGGCGAGGCGGCAGTCGTCGTTCTCGCTGGCCGCAACGTCTTGGAGCAGCGTACGGTTGACGTTGGCCCAGAGCTCGGCCATCGGATCGACCAACGCGTCGGCGGGCGCGGCGAGCGCGATCTTCCCGGATCGGCCCGTGATCGCGACCGAGAGGAGCTCGAGTGGGTGGAAGGCGAGCTCGAGCGGGAAGAGCACGACGATGGACCAAAAGTTGTACATGTCGTGGACGGTGGCGGCGGCGATCGCGCGCTGGAACTGGGCCCGGTCGTGGACTTGGGCAAAGGCGACGAGGATGCAGGTGACGCACGTGCCGAGGTTGGCGCCCATAAGGATCGGAATCGACTTGCGGAGGCAGAGGATGTCGGCGCCGACAGAGGCCACCGTGATGCAGACTACCGCGCTCGACGAGTGGAGGAGTGCGGCGGCGACGACGCCGATCATCAAGCCGACGAGCGAGTGGTTGGAGAACTCAAAGAACGCGGTGCCTCTGCACGCGACGAGAAGCATGAAGCCATCCGAGAGCCATCGCACCGAGACCATAAAGAGCCACAGCGAGAAGAGGAAGAGGAGGATGTGGCCGAGCGTCGCGGCGAAAGACCGGCGGCGCGCGGGCAAGAGCACGAACGGGTCCGCTGGCGGCTCGTCCGGCGCCGAGAGCTCGGAGCAGCGCTCGTTTGGCGAGCACCACGGGTCGTAGCGCGACGATTCTTCGTAGAGCTTGACGGTCATCAAGGCAAATGCTGCAATGCCAGAACGCGCGCTGGCAAACAAAAGCCGAAACCACCGGAAAGGCAGCGGATCCGTGCAAGGCACGTGTTACAGAAGAGCACGTAACGTGTGCGTTGGCTACTGGCGCGCTCCAAAATCTGGTAAAGCGATTGCACCAGATCTGTTTCCGAGTCGCTTTGGGTTCAGCACGGTCGGGTTGTGCGATGGCTGAACGAAGCTCTGAGAGAGAGCACTGAGACAACGTGATGACGGCCGCGTCTCGAAGCTTGGATCGTCGCTCGGTCGTCCCACGTGCGAGCGGCCCGTGTCGGCAAGTTGAAGTTGTCGGTTTCCGCACCATATCCAGAAAGTGGCGAAAAGCGCACCCATCGGCGTAAAATTTCCACGTCTGTTCAAGATCGAATCTCGTGGGCGAGACGATGGAGGGCCGGGCATGGACGAGTCGCTCAAGGTGGCGGCGGGCGGGACGTCGACCGTCGTCATGTTCGACGCGAGCAAGAAGGAGGAGTTCTACCCGACGTCGGGCTACAAGAAGCTGGCGCGGAAGCTCAAGACGAGCTGCAAGGTCGAGATCAACAAGGACGACTTGTCGCTCGACCGGCTCAAGCAGGCGCACCTGCTTGTGTTTGCAGGCGTCCGCGAACGCTTTAGCTCGTCCGAATTCCAGGCACTGAAAGACTACCTGCGCGAAGGTGGCAGCATTCTCTTCCTCGTGGGCGAGGGCGGCGACACGCGCCACGACACGAACCTCAACTCGTGGCTCAAGGAGTTTGGCATCACGATCAACGCCGACGCCGTCATCCGCACCGTGTACCACAAATACCACCACCCCAAGGAAGTGCTCGTGACGAGCGGTGTCGTCAACCGCGAAATCGCGCGCATGGTACGACCGAGATTGCACTTTTCCATATCTTGAGTCGTACTAGACCAACGTGATTTCTGGCCGCGGCAAAGACATCTTCGCGCGGGACCCCGCCGCCGACAAGGCGCATGGGCTCGAGAAGGACCAGCGCGGCCTCGACTTTGTGTTCCCGTACGGCGCAACGCTCAACGTTAAGAAGCCGTCGGCGCCGATTGAGCTCCGGCTTCATCTCGTTTCCGATGAACCGTCCGGTCGCCGCCGTCTACTCGGCCGACGGCGTGAGCGCACCGCCGAAAAAGTGCGGCCGGCTTGCGGTCCTCGGATCCGCGCACGTCTTCTCCGACGACTGGCTCGACAAGGAGGAGAACACCAAGCTCCAAGACATCCTCTTCCGATGGCTCCTCAAAGACAAAGAGATCTTATTCGATGCCTTTGACGCGGGGGACCCGGACCTGAGCGACTACTTTCGGCTGCCCGATACGCAAGCGCTCAGCGAGCGCCTCCGCTCGTGCATGCAAGTGCGTTTCCGTGCTGCTTGCGAAGGGATCTTATCTTGAACGACTACGTAGGAAGGCGAAGAGCTCCCAAAGGACTTTACCAAGCTCTTTGATAATTCGCTGTTTAAATTCGACACGTCCCTGATCCCGGAGGCCGTCGCGCTCTTCAAGGAGCTCGGCGTCAAGCACGAGCCGTTGACGTTGATCCCACCGCAGTTTGAGTGCCCGCTGCCGCCGCTCAAGCCCGCGGTCTTCCCGCCGATTTTGCGCGAGCCGCCGCCGCCAGCGCTGGACCAGTTCGATTTGGACGAGCACTTTGCGTCCGAGTCGTTGCGGCTCGCGCAGCTCACCAACAAGTGCTCGGACGACGACCTCGAGTACTACGTCAAGGAGTCGGCCGTCATCCTCGGCATCCTGCCCAAGCTCGACCCTGAGCGCTCGGACGCCAAGCACGTGCTCGACTACCTCTTCCAGAAGATCGTCAACTTCAAGAAGCTCAACCAGGACGCGACGCTGCCGGACGAGAACCTCCACGTGCTCCAGCACACGGCGTCATTCGCCGACGAGAAGGACCTCGACGAAGGCGACTACAAGGAGGCCAAGGACTTGGAGGAGAAAAGCCGGAAATAAGTTCTAGTTGCGTGATATACCAGAGATACGATGTGCATCCTTCGTCTCTGGTCGCGCTCTCTTGAAACAAACCAGCGGTATTAGTACCTTGGCACGGCAGTGGACCTCCGCGATCAGGTCGAGTGGTCCGAGCCATCACGGGCGTAGCTGTCGTCGTCTAATGGTAGATCAGATCAAAGAAGCGTCGATTACACAAGTTGCCCCAGTCCCCCGACGCCGCCTGTCTCACGCTTTACCTATACTGTCTCTTGCACCGCCGATTTTCCGCTGGATTAGAGACAGATGCGAGAAAGAAAGGGTAAACAGAGACACCTTCGGAAAGGTCAAATGGCTACCTCGGCCCAGCCGGTGCGCAGAGCGGCGCGGAGCTGGCTTCAGTTAGCAACCGCAATCGCATGAAGCAGGCCAGAGCTGCGCCCACCGTCATCGCCACGGACCGCGCGTCGTACCTCTCGTCCGGCTCGGACGCGCCGGGCCACATCTTCATCGACCTCCGTAGCCCGCAGACCGACGGCCGGTCCAGCGGCGGCGCGCTCCGGGACGGCCCGATCCCGGTCTACACGAGCCCCGAGGTTATCGGTGTCCTCGCGCAGTACGCGGCGATCGGGCTGCTCTACGGCGCGATCCCGAACCTCCTCTTCCCGCTCTTCACGGGCTACTTTCACATGTCGGGCAGCCAGTACAACTCGGGCAAGGCGCTCATCGGCATCGGCTGGTCGCTCAAGGTCTTTGTGGGCATGCTCTCGGACTGCGTCCCGATCTTTGGCCGCCGCCGCAAGTTCTGGATGATCCTCGGCTGGCTCGCCTGCCTCGGCTGCATGATCGTGCTCGCCACCATGGACATGGGGCCGCCGTACTACCCGACCGCCGACCTCGCGGCCCGGAGCAACCTCTCGGTCGCCGAGAAGGCGGCGCTCAACATGGACGCGCCACAGAAGGGCGGCGTCGTCGGCCTCCTCCTGGGCCTTGCCACGCTCGCCTACATCTTCGCCGACGTGCCCGCCGACGCGCTTGTCGTCGAGATTGCGCAGCGTGAGCCCATCGACGTGCGCGGCCGCATGCAGACGCTGGTGTACGCGACGCGCACCGTCTTCTCGTCCTTCTCGGTCGCCGTCATTGCGATCGGGCTCAACTCGTTCAAGTTTTCCGGCTCGTTCGACTGGGACATGGGCATCCACACCATGTTCATCCTGCTCGGCGTCGTCTGCGCCGTCATGGTGCCTCTCACGCTCCTCTGCGTCCACGACCACTACCACCCGGGCTTCCACTTTGGCGAGTACCTCCTCCGCTTCTGGCACGTGATCCAGAAGCGCGCGACGTGGCAGGTCATGGTCTTCAACTTCGTCTTCAACTTTCTCAGCTCGGGCATCACGTCGACGGCGGCGCCGTACGTCATGAAGCACTGGGCGAAGGCCGACAACCTCAACTACCAAGTGCTCAACCTCGCATCCGGCTTCCTCTTCGCGATCGGCCTCAGCGTCCTCGGCAAGTGGGGCATGCTCTGGAACTGGCGCTACGTGCTCGTGCTCACGACCATCAGTGGCAACGCGATCGATGCGCTCGTGCAGTTCACGACCATCTTCGATGTCATCCGCGACCAGTGGTGGTACCTCGGTGTGCCCCTCGCCGAGAACCTTCCGTTCTCGATGCAGTTCATCGTGACGACGTTCATCATTGTCGAGCTCGCCGAAGAAGGCAGCGAGGGCATCATGTACGGGCTCATGACGACCGTCTCCAACATGCCGTCCGTGCTTGGACCGGTCGTGGCCAACGCGATCTTTGCCAACTTTGACGTGACCGAGGACGACATCAAGGCGGACACGGCCCACGTTCGCCGCCACGTTGCGTACACGTACGTCATCTACTACAGCACGACGCTTCTCGCGTGTCTCTGCGTCGTGCTGCTGCCGAACCAGAAGATCGACCTCCAGCACATGCTCCGGTACGGCGGCAAGTCGGCAACCATGGGCGGCCTCGCGCTCGGCTTTTGCTTTCTCGTGCTCGCATATTCGATCTGCGTGAGTGTGCTCGGCATGTTCGCGTCAACGTCGTGTCTGCCCATCGCGGGCGGCGACGGCTGCGACGTGGTGTAGCTGCGCATCAGGTTGATTTTTTTAATTTACCGCGTCGTCTGCTGTCGACTGCTCTGCTTGGGTTCCTGGCGGCTCGGAGGCTTGAGCGTGCTTCGCGCAGAGTATCTTTTGGACGTTGGATAGCGCGCCACGAGGCGACCGAACGGCGGCGGTGCGCGATCCTTGATGGCGGCGTACAGGCCGATGAGCGCCGCGCTCACGCAGTCCAGGTCGGCTTGAGGCAGACCGAGGACGGCCCACCAGCGCTCGCGGCCATCGGTTGTCATCGTGTCCCACGGAATCCTAGCATGCGGTCAGGTGGACATTGAGCAGTTCTTGGATGCAGTACTCGTGGAAGACGTAAGACAGGTAGACGCTGCCAGCCGCGATTTCGTCCATGGTGAACTGCATGCCGAGGATACCTGCACGCGCGTCGTGAGTCAGCATCGATGTTGAGGCGTCGTACCGCGGATGGCATCCGTGGCGAAGCACCAGGCCATGTCGCGAACGTCCTCCAGTGGCATGTTGAGAATCGCCTGGACGTTTTCCAGTTTGAGGAGCACGAGGTGGTACGGGTTGGCGACGATGAGGTTGTACGAGAGCGTGTTGAGCAGAATGACCTCGTACTGGCGCAGCTTGGCTTTGACGTGCTCAATCTCGGCGGCGTGGGGCATCTGCGACTTGTCGCGGCAGTCGTCCAGCAAAATCACCGTGCGCTCGGTAAAGTCCGTGAGCTTCATGGCGCACTCGGTGGCTTTCGCCGCCACGTACACGCAGCTGGCGCCGACGAGGAACCGGTCGTGGTCCTGGAAGGCGTGCACGCAGAAGAAGCGGTTCATGTACACGAGGCCCGTCGTCGCCGTCGCCCGGGGCATGTGCATCTTGGCTGTGAGATCCATCACGAACTGCGCCGTGGACTCACGGAGCCGCTGCTCGAGCGGCCAGGCGTAGCCTTGCTGCGTCGACGGCGTCACGGGCGTCTTCGCACCATCGAAGAGCCACTCGATCTCGGCGGCCATCGGTCGGTCGCTCGAAATACCTCTCGCGGCAATCCGGATACGTAAGCCGGCCAAAGTACAGAGTGGCTTGCCGAATTTAGTACTGTATAGTGCGAACCTACAGTGGTGTAAGTCGAGTGCGCTGTTAAATCAAGTTGGCATAAAGCGAATAAAAGGCAGTAGAGTCGCTGCTCTCGTGCTCTTCAGAAAATAGAGAGCCCTCCAGTTCCCATGGTCTCCCTCTTGCGCTGTCGAAGGCGACGAGCCCACTGCGCTGGACGCGTCAGCTCGGCCCGTGGTAGCTACCCATGGGTGGCTGAAGGTTCTCGAAATCGGCAGATATGCCGAAAAATATTTCTTGCAGATGGTGCCTACGTTTGGACGCGTGGCGCGCAAGCAATGACAACCAACGCGGTTATACAGCAGTCAATTAGCAGAGCCAAGCATCTCGATCGCCAGCGCGCTTCGAGTCCGGTGCTGGCGCTCTCTGGCGCTCTTGATCTTGCCAGGGACTTCAATTCGGCATGTGCCGTATTTAGTTGTGTTACACGCCACCGAAATAGTGTTCGTGCCACGTAGCGGAGGTGGCAGATTCGGATCCTCATCTTCGTGCAGCAGCATGCAGTGGTTCGTGCCCTACATCTACGTGCCCAGCATGGACGTGGGCATCGTCGAGATTGTCACGCCGCTGGGTAACATCACAGTTCCGCTCTTTATAAGCCAGTTCTACGGCCTCCTCGTCGCGCTGGGCCTCATTGCGCTCACGGTCATCTGGCACGCCTGCGGTGGCCGCTACGAGCCCGAGGATGATGCGCCGTACACGAAGCGCACGTCCAAGAAGGCCAAAGCCAGGGCGAAGGCCAAAGCCGCGAAGGAGGCCGAAGCCGCGGACGGCAATGACGCCGACGACGACGCCGAGGACGACGACGAGAGCGAAGCGCGGTCGGCGCTCGCAGACAACATCTCGCGCAACGGCGAGAACAGCTACTACTACGCCCACAAGGTGCGCGAGATCGACAACACGCCGATGACGCTCAAGCAGACCATCTCGCAGTACGGCTGGTCCGACGGCCGCAAGACGGTAGCGCCACAATTTGTCGTCATGACGCTTATGCATGGCTAGGTGACCATTTACGTCGACCACCCGGCGGCCGGCGACGTTGCGAAGGACGCCGTGTCGATCCACTGGAGCGCGACGTCGCTCTCGCTCGACATCACGTTTGACGAGAAGGACGTGCGCAGCCTCGTCGTGCCCAAGCTCTACGGCCCGATCGCCGACGTCTCGTACAAGGCGAAGCGGGACTCGCTCGTCTTTACGCTCGTCAAGAAGCAGCACGAGCCGTGGAAGTCGCTCAACGCCGCCGCCAAGAACTTGGATGCACACATCGAGTACGACGAGAGTCTCTACGATTAGCGGCGTCCGATCTGTCTAAAAAAACGCAGCGATTGCATTGACCACGAGGAGCGTCGCGCCGTCAAAGATGTACTTGGGCGCGAAGATGGCCCAGACAAAGAGATGGCGCCGCATGCAGCCGACAAAGATCGTCGTGCACGTCGCCGCGAGGCTAAAGAGAGCGACGATGACGCGCTTGTCGAGCTCCGTGGCGGCCAGCAGCGGCAGCCCAACGAGGAAGCTCCCAAAGGTGTTGAGGAACAGAAGCAGCCCGGACCGGTAGAACGCAAAGTCCTCAAACCCGACAAAGGCCGCTGCGTTCTGGAGACTGCTAAAGCCGTTGTGGTGGCCAGTCGCAAAGTAGAAGTGGTACAAGAGTAAGGCCGAGAGGAGGCGGCGGCTCAGCGTCGACGGCAGGCAATCGAGCAGCCGTGCTTGGGCCACAAAACAGCACAGGGCGAGCGGCGAAGTGGGCCCGAGGAGCAGCGCCAGCACGACGAGGAGCGACGGGACGTACGCGTGGAGCGCACCAGAGACGAAGCAGGTGGCGTAGAGCAGCCGCGGCAGCACGAGCGGGTACAGCTCCAGCCAGTAGAGCCCGAGTAGGAGCCAGAGCAGTGCGTAGTGGCGGCCATGCTGCACGACGCTGTCGCCGGCGAGGACGCCGAGCGGAAGCCACGTGCTAAGAAGCGACGTGGTCGAAAACACAATGTTGGGCCGCGTGAGGCTGATGCTGACGCGGTGGACGATGCAGAGCAGTACAAAGCGCCCCTGCTTCGAGCGTGGGCCTTGGAGCAGCTCGAGCCCGAGGACGAGAAGCGCAGACGACGCGAGGAAGCCGACGACCTTGTCCTGCACCACGAGGTAGCTGTTGGAGAAGAGCGCGAGGAGGTGGCACACGCCAACGAAGAGGCACAAGACGTTGGCGCGGGAGACGCCGACGTACTTTGGGCAGCGCCAGGATGCGCTGCGGGCGAGCGCCGCGAGAAGCCCGAGCGACGCGCAGAGGGCGGTGCGGGGCCAGGGCGCGGCGGGAACGAGGTTCTGCGGCACGAGCGCCCACGGCCAGAGGTGCCCCAGCAGCGCCCCCACGCTCGGGCCAACGAGAAGCCGTAGGCTCGGTGGAAACGAGAGCGCGTCGTCCGGGACGCAGAGCGCGACCGACAAGAGCGTGCCGGAGAGAAGCAGGAGGACGCCCCAGCCCATCGCGACAAAGTCGAACTGCGTGTACATGGCTCGGCTCAAGTCCAACGCGTCGCGGAGGTACGTGTGGAGGAGGTCGTAGCGCGCGCGGGGGCTCAAGGTGGGCGCTTGCAGCGCTTCGTACGTAGCCTCCAGCGCCAGCATCGCGGGCAAATCCATGCGAATCGTGCTCGTGGCCATAAAGTAGTGTCGGATCTGCGCCACGTTGACGGTCATGGCTTCGTTGAGCCGGCGAAAGCACTCGTCGACGTCCATGGAGGCTACAAACATACCACATGAATCCACGTCTTCTCTTGGATCGCAGCCATACGGGACGTGAAAAAGACGTGCGGGATCACGGCGCCGAGGTTCCCAAACGGAATCGGAAGCCCGAGCAAGAGCGAGAGCGTCGGCACCAAGTCGACCTACGCGGTCGTCGACATTAGTTAGTTAGTCGGAGAAGCGTACCTGGGCGACAGTATATTCATTGCTTCGGCGGCCGACCACGTGGTTGAAGAGTGAGAGCGTGCCACCGTCGGGCGCAGCGATCGCGTGGTGCAGCGGCGTCTTGCTGTACAGGAAGAGCGCGGCGCCGGTCTCGTCGTCGGTCGCACCGCCATGATTGCCATCTTCCGACATGCCATGGTCGCCGAGCACAACCTAGCATGGCATGTCGTCCTCATAAGCTCTTGCGCTCGCAGCAGCAACGTACGACGAGCGTGTCGTCCTCGACGGTCGCTAGGAGTGTCTCGAGAAAGGCGTCCATCTGATCGAGCTTCGTCTCCATATATGGCGAGTTGGGTCCATACGTATGGCCGACGTGGTCGACGCCTATATCTTTCATGTGAGCACGCACGAGGATGCGAGCGACGCGACCGAGGAAGTGGGCGATGAGGACGTCCCAGTCGGGCAAGGCGAGCTCGTCAAAGATGTGGGCAAGCACGCCATTGTCGACCGTGTGGAGGTCCTTGACGTTGAACGAGTCGTACGAGTAGTTGCGCATGAACTTGCCGCCGTAGAGCGCATCCCACGTGTTGTCGCCCATAAAGACGATGCTCTTGTTGAGCAGCACGAGCTGCTGCACCCAGCTGTCCTCGACGATCTCGGTGCTCTGCATGTTGTCCTTGATGTCGAGAAAGGTCGGGAGCGTTCCTGTCGTCAAGCCTTTGAGCCTACGCATCGTATGTAGAATAGACAGGCCATGCAATGCGGCAGTACCGCTGCATGGTCATCGTCGGCGCGTCGGCCACGAAGCGGTACAGGAGGCTGTGCGAGGGCTGCGCCGCCAGCACGGCGTGGACGTGCGGCAGGTGGTTGAGGAAGAACCGCCCGCCAATGCTGTCTTTCGCCAGCACCTCGTCTCGCGGCGCGCGGTGCATAAAGTCGTAGCGGAGCGCGTCGATGACCACGTACACGACGCGCTTGAACTTTTGGTCGTACCAGCAGCCGGGCGACGCGGCAGGCCGCCGGAGATGCGATGGCCCCGGCGGGTCGCATGCGCTCGCGTCCTTGACCTCGTAGCGCGTGAGAAAGAAGCCGCTTGTGAAGAGGAAGAGGCCCGCGCCATGCAGCGCCAGCAGCGCGACAAGCCCGACTGTCGCGCGCATCAGCTAAGGGGAGTGTGCCTAGACATGGCATCTGCCGTTTTGTGGCAGCAGTGGCGTGTCGATAGACGTGGCATCTGCCGCGTTTCGACCCGCAACGTCCAAAAATCGAAAGGTTCCGAAACGTGCATCGAAAAAAGGGCAAAAAATCAAGTCGCTGATTTTCCAGCTTCTTGGCAAGCTCCGCGCAGCTGCGGCAGCTCTAGCCTCCGTGTGTCGGCGTCTTCTGCCTCGTCGCCGGCATCGCATCAAGAAGGGGACTCGGGAATGATAAATCGGGCGGCAACGTGCCATCTCGGCGATCTAAGATGGAATAAGATGATTGCTGCCTTTAGAGGAGGGAGGATCGGGTGAGGGCTTTGAGATTAAAACGGTAGGTGCTGAGAAGGGCTGGCGCTTGGACGCGCACGTGTCTTGGCTCGTGCACGGCCAAGTGCGCTTCGAGACCTCGCCATGTGTGTACTCGCTCCTCCTTCGCAATAGTGAGTGAAGCCGCGTTTCTGGGTACCGGCCGCACCTGGTTGCGTCCACCATCGACCGACGGCTCAATGGTCGGACGGCGTTACTCACGTACGCTTCTTCGACCTGCACAGCGCTCGTCGCAATCTACCGTACCGGTGGACTGCATTTGGCTCGCGTTCGCCGCCTGGCGCAGGTCGCTCGCTCAGCAACCGACGCGCCGACACACTCGAGTGCTTAGACCTCTATCGACTGCATGTGGAGCTACAACTTGATTCGTCCATGCGCGTCTGGAAATGAAATTTCCCTGTCTTTCGATTTAGGTGCTTGAAGTCCCACGGCGGAATGGTCGCCGTAACTTGGCGGTCGTCGAACCGTCGAAAAAGGCAAAGTCAGAAGGATAGTTCATTTTCTAATCGCCCACCGACCACAACGATGGTCCGTACTCTTCTTCTGCTCGGTCTAGCTCTCGGCGCCACGGCGCAGTCGCCGTCGCCGGCCCCGACGCCGTCCATCTCGAACCCGCCATTCACGATGACGGCCGTCAACACGATCCAGGCGCGCGTGCAGTCGGACGCGGCGACGTGGGACGAGACCAACAAAAAGTTTGGCCTCGTCCTCAAGCAGAACACCAACACGTTCGAGGAGAAGTACCGCGCCGCGATGGACACGGTCAACACGGCGTCCGTCGAAGGCGCGCTCTTCTACGTGCAGACCGAGGGCATCAACAAGGCCGACTCGGTCAACTGCTTGCGCAAGACCAACATGAGCTACATCTGGTTCCTCAACATCACGATCGTGCAGCCGACGTTTGCGATCGCAGAGTACGCCGACAACGGAGGCGTCATCCCCGAGTACGGCCGGTTCGTGGCCATGGACGGCGGCTTCTGCACGCCGGTCAAGGACACGACGCCGCCGCTCGAGTGCCTCACGTACGGCGGCCTCAGCTACAACAAGAACCTCGGGCCGTGGGTCGGCGGCGAGGCCCGCAAGACGCACCCGAAGGGCAACTACGCCGACAACTATTGGTTCTCGTTCCCGAACTCGTGCTACACCAAGCGCTTTGAGCAGAAGGACGACGCGTGCCGCAAGGTCCAGAAAGGTGGCCTCTGCCCGCTCGGCAAGCAGCCGGACGGTGTCACGTGCACGTACTCGTTCGACGTCCTCGGCTACGTTCGCATCGACGACCTCGTCGGCATCACGAGCATGAAGCACAGCCAGACGGGCCAGAACTACCGCGACCGTGTCGACTTTTGCAAGGACTCCAAGGTCGAGTACGACTTTAGCAACAGCTACAGCGACCTGACGTTCTGGGACAAGCCGCTCGACGTCGACGCCAACACGAACCGCACGACGCAGATGCTCAAGTTTTACAACGACCTCATCAAGGAAGGCAAGGGCGACTACGCCCACATGAAGCCGCTGCCGTCCGCCGAAGAGCTCGCCAAGACCAACCCGCCGTGCTGGAAGAATAGCCCGATGTGCGCCAAGGCCCCCAACGGGTGCCGCCGCAAGCTCACGGCGCAGGTCTGCGAGGTCTGCTCGTCGCCCGCCGACGACTGCAAGAAGCCGGGCCCGACCGACGCCGCCGCACCGACGCTCAACAAGCAGTTCCAGCCGGCGCTCCCGACCAACGCCGCCGGTGTCACCACCGTCCCCCGCAGTATCTCCAACAACGAAACGCTGGCGCCGGGGGCTGGCGGTGCCGGTGGTGTGACCACAAACGCGGCCTCGTCCGTGTCTCTGGTCGCCGCTTCGACCCTCGCCGTGGCAGCCCTCTTGTTGGTGTAGTAACTCTTGACATCGATTTATACGATTTTTTCTAAACGCGAGTTGCGATCGTCGATCGTCTTGGTCGGGTGGAAACGAACGACCAACGGCAGCGGACGCCACACAACTCAGGTCCATGGCCTGTCGTTGCGAGAAACACTAAGAACCGACTGATTGACTCGAGCCCGGCCGAGGGCTCGCTCACAATGGAGTTAGAAAAACGACCTCGACCCACAGTGCGACAACGACCGCACCAACAGGTATATTCCGGCCGCGCGACCGGCACAAGACGCCAGCCCGTAGGACGAAAAAGCGAGGGCCTCCGATGCCTGTGACGTAGCGCGCTCGTTGTTGGAAGACACCTAGTGAGCCTTTCACTGCGCCCAGCCAGCTTGGTGGGATCGTACCAGAGCCCAGTTCTGGCTTTCGCGTCCGTGCAGAAGCCAACAAGTGCTGAAGAGGGCTTCTACAGTGCTGAATGACATCGACCGCCGTTGGCGTCTAGAGATCCAAGAAGCGAATTCAGCAGCCTCGTCTATCGTTCGAGTGAACCAGCTACCGAGCGCGGCGGCAAGACGACAATTCTGGCAAACGACGTCAGCGGGGTTGTAACAGCGCTTTGGAATTTTAACCAAGCTGTAGACACACTAGAACGCAGACTAGAATGTGGAGAAATCGTCGTCAGATGCCGCAGCAAGCGTCTGGTGGAATCGAAGAGGAAACTTTCAGCAGCCTTGGCCGATCTTGCCACACGCGCGCCGACCAAGGCGTCCGAGGGTGCGAAACGAAGGCCCAAGAACCTGTACCTGTAGCATGTGCACGGTGGGTGGACCAAGCCCGTGCGGTGATTCCCACCCTCCTGCGACGCCGACCAGTCCGCGCCGGTGCCAGTCCGTCGCGATGATTGCACCGAGTACTGCTATCATCACTCGTCCAGAGAGTGACCTCTACTACATGAACGAGCAAAGAAACAAACAGACCCCATACCACTACCAACAAGAGTGACGTTGTGCCCCACGACGACGCCGTCGAGACGTCTTCGAGGCGCACTGATCCTTGGCGCTTGTAACGCTGCAGTAGGGCTCGGGCTTCGGGACAAGTGGAGTCTGAAAGGCAAACAGCTGGTGGTCTCTTCTCTGCGCCGACAAGCCTCTGCCTCCCAAGCAACACCCGTCGCTGCCTCTTCGTCCGGAACCAACGAGGCGGCCGCGGCCGCTCTTCGAGCTACCCACCGCGCCCCTTGGGCCGCGACGCGGACGAGGTCCATACTACACGTCGGCGTCGGTGCAGAAATTCTGCTGCCGCCACGTGCTGGCAGAGCCACCGTATCCAACAGCGTGACACATGCGTGTCTCTCTCGCCCGCCATCGACACCGCTGCATTCTCACTCTTCAATTCCACGTACCCTGCCGAGCTCGATTAGCATGGTCCGTATTCTCGCTGCTGCCCTCGCCGCCGGTGTCGTCGCCGGCCAGACCACGACGGCGCCTTCCGCCGCTGCCAACAAGTGGACCATGACCACGATCAACTCGGTGCAGGCGCGCGTCGTCTCGGACGCGGCGACGTGGGACGCGACCAACAAGAAGTTTGGCCTCGTCCTCAAGCAGAACACCAACACGTTCGAGGAGAAGTACCGCGCCGCCATGGACACGGTCAACACGGCGTCCGTCGAAGGCGCGCTCTTCTACGTGCAGACCGAGGGCATCAACAAGGCCGACTCGGTCAACTGCATGCGCAAGACCAACATGAGCTACGTCTGGTTCCTCAGCGTCACGATCGTGCAGCCGACGTTCGCGATCGCCGAGTACGCCGACAACTCGGGTGTCGTGCCCGAGTACGGCAAGTTCCTCGCCATGGACAACGGCATGTGCACGCCGCTCGACGCCAAGGGCACGCTGTCGCCCGAGTGCATGACCATCTCGGGCCTCAACTACAACAAGAACGTCGGCCCGTTCGTTGGCGGCGAGTCGCGCAAGGCCCACCAGTACGCCGCCTACGCCGACAACTACTGGTTCTCGTACCCCAACTCGTGCTACACGCGCAAGTTCGAGCAGAAGGACGATGCGTGCCGCAAGAAGCAGCCCGGCGGTCTCTGCCCGCTCGGCACCAAGCCGGACGGTGTCACGTGCACGTACTCGTTCGATATCCTCGGCTACATCCGCATCGACGACCTCGTCGGCATCACGAGCATGAAGAACAGCCAGACGGGCCAGAACTACCGCGACCGCGTCGACTTTTGCAAGGACTCGAAGGTCGAGTACGACTTCGCCACCAAGACGTCGGACCTCACGTTCTGGGACAAGCCGCTCGATGAGGAGGCCAACACGAACCGCACGACCGAGATGTTGAAGCTCTACAACTCGCTCATCAAAGAAGGCAAGGGCGACTACGCCCACATGAAGCCGCTGCCGTCCGCCGAAGAGCTCGCCAAGACCAACCCGCCGTGCTGGAAGAACAGCCCCGTGTGCGCCAAGGCCCCTAACGGCTGCCGCCGCAAGCTGACGGCGCAGATCTGCGAGGTCTGCTCGTCGCCCGCCGCCGACTGCAAGAAGCCGACGGCCTCGGATGTCGTGCCGCCTGCCCTCACCAAGGCGGTCGAGCCCCCGCTCCCGACGGATGCTGCCGGCAAGACGACGGTCCCGCGCAACCCGACCGGTGCGGGCGGCGCCGGTGGCGCTGCGACGCCTGGCGCTGCCAGCAGCGCGTCGTCGGTCGCCCTCACTGCGTCGGCGGCTGTCGTCATGGCCGCGCTCCTCCGCTAAGCGCCTCGTTCCGCCAACGTAGTAGACAGATTACATACATCCTCTCTATAAGAACCCGACGCAAGCGAAGCCCGGTGTGCTATTTCTCCGCGTCTTTACGGTAGAGTGTGTAGCAGGGCAGTAACACGAATAGGGCCTGGATTGAGTAGCTCGCCAAATGCAACGGACGAGCCTATGGCATCGCTTGAACGCGAAGCGGCGCCAGGTCGGTCCACACCCGCTCCCTGCGCACGAGAAGGAGCTCCTTGCACGAGAGCTCGCGCCGGTCTCGTCGAGGCGGCTGCCGTACACGCGGAAGAGGCGTCGGTTCAAAAGCGCGTTGAGGAGCCAGCGCGGGTAGCTGTTGATGGCCATGAGAAATCGATCGTCGACGATGATGTGCCCGAGCAGCCACAGCGACGAGATCGAGACGCGGCCGTCGTCTGTGGTCTCGTCGCAGGCTGCGACAAAGCCGACGACGTCCTCGACGCGCTGGCGCGTGCTGCGCTCGACCTGCCATCCGGCGCTCGCGTCCGACGGCCGGAACGGGGCGTAGAGCAGCGAGCGCTCTGTCCAAAGTCGCACGTCCGTCGGGACGTCGTCGCTTGTACAAGCGGCGATCCGGTCGGTGCGGCTGCCAACCCGAGCCAGAATCGAAAGGCGCCGCTGCGCGGCCGAATGAAGATGGACTTGAAGCGGCGCATGCGCGGCGTCTGGCGTGGCGGCCAGACCACCTTGGCGCCGAGGATGTAGAGCGACGCCGCAGCCAACGCCACGAGCCACCACGTAAACGCGCAGGCGACGACGCAAAAGTCGGTGCCGGCGTTCTCGTGGATCGTCCAGACGTCCATGCCGTCGGCGCCGGCGGAAAACGAGTTGCTCTCAAAGTTGGCGGTCGCGTACTCATCGGTGGCTTGGAGACAGAGACCGATGCGCGTCGTCAGGTCGGTGCGGTACTTGAAGCAGATGAACAAGATGAGCACGATGGCCTCGAGGCCGATCCGGACATGCAAGGCGTGGGTGAGCCACGTCAGCAGCGGTGCCGGCGTTCTCGTGGATCGTCCAGACGTCCATGCCGTCGGCGCCGGCGGAAAACGAGTTGCTCTCAAAGTTGGCGGTCGCGTACTCATCGGTGGCTTGGAGACAGAGACCGATGCGCGTCGTCAGGTCGGTGCGGTACTTGAAGCAGATGAACAAGATGAGCACGATGGCCTCGAGGCCGATCCGGACATGCAAGGCGTGGGTGAGCCACGTCAGCAGCGCAAGCGCAACCATCAAAGCATCTGCGAGCGCCATGGCCGGGTACACAAAGGTACCTGGAAGCCCGAGCCGCGCATTGGCCTCGGCGAGACTCCACTCAAAGACGTGCCACCAGTCGGTGAGGTAGAGCACGCAGGCGCAGAGCGCGGCGCGCACTTGGACCCGGTACTGGATGCACGGAAAGAGATCGGGGACCCAGAGGACGCCCGTCTCGCGATACAAGTGCACGCACGAGACGAGTGCAACGAGGAGGCTCACGGTCGCGTTGAAGGCGATGCCGGCGCCGACGAGGAGGCGTAGCCACGCGTTCGCGTCTTTCGAGTGGCTGGCGTCCGTGTAGACGGTCTCGAAGGCAAAGGCGAGCGGGTCGGATGGGAGAGACCAGACGTAGTAGGCGTAGTTGCCCTGCGTCGCCGTCGTTCCGCGGAAGATGCCTTCGGTGCCGAGGAGCGAGACGACTTCGTGCCCGAGCGTCGCGGTCCAAGCGCCCGAGACCGTCGCTCCCGTCGCGAGTCGCACGGGCACAAACGGCGTCGAGACCTCGTACGGAAAGTCGAGGCCGACGTACGTTTGGTAAACGTCGTTGATAGCCGGCGACGTCGGGTCGGCGACGAGGCGCGACGTCATGTCGGTCGCATTGATCGCGTCGAGGGGCAGCGAGACGACGGTCGCCGTGCCGCAGCCGGCTTGGCGATGCTTGGCAGGGCGTTGGACGACCATTGTCTGCAGAAAGACCGTCGTGAGCGAGGTCGATGAGAGCACGTAGGCTTTGAGCGCCGTCGTGTCCTCGGTCGCTCGGCCCGTGTACGCGCAGTCGACCAGCACATGGCTGTCGTCGAGTTGTAAAGGCAGAAGCTTGGTAAGCACCAGCGTGAGGTAACTTGGGGTGTAGATGCGGTCGCCCGGAAGGGCTTCGCGGCAGCGCTCACACAGGTCCACGCGGCTTTCGTTGGCTTCGAGGTAGAGAAAGGCCGGTGGGCTTGGGAGCGTCCCGTTGTAGCCGCCCGAGAGGAGCGTTTGGAGAAACGTGGGCAGGAGCGGACTCGCGTAGACGTTGCCCGGGGCCGCGGGGAGAAGGCCGCCGACAAGCACCGTCCTGTTGCCGACGGAGCCGAGGTACTCGATGTAGACGATGCCGATGGTGCAGAGGCACGCGAGCACGCGGCGCACCTGGATGTACGCGCGGCGCCACGACCAGCGGGCCATACTAGTCCGTGGTCGCTGTGCTGTCGATGACAGGTTGCTGTCTGGTAATAATAACGCAGAGGCCAATTCGAGCGCAGCCCGTTTCGCGCGTGATCGATCGGTTGCTAGACAGACAGACAGGCCGGTCGGGTCATTCCAGTGGCAGTTGAGGTCGACCCAAGATGGCGGCAGTTGCAGAATTGGGATTAACGAGGTTTGTCCCAACTGGGCAACCGACGGACGTGGATCTCGTCGTCTCATGGGCTCGACGCTGTCGCGGAAGATCGTCCGGTTCTGGACGCGGAACCACCGGCGCGTGCTGCTGGTGGGCCTCGACGCAGCCGGGAAGACCACGATCCTGTACCACCTGCGCCTCCACAAGACGATCCCGACGCTGCCCACGATCGGCTTCAACACGGAGGCCATCGCGTTCCACGGCCTCACGCTTGACCTCTGGGACGTCGGCGGCCAGGACTCGCTGCGGCCGTACTGGCGCCACCACTTTACGGGCACCCAAGGCATCGTCTTTGTCATCGACAGCTCGGACGCGGAGCGCCTCGAGCTCGCCAAGGCCGAGCTGCACGGCGTGCTCAGCGACGACCAGCTCCACGACGCGTGCTTGCTCGTGGTCCTCAACAAACGCGACCTCATCCAGGGCGACGCCAGCGACATCGTCGCGCAGCTCGACTTTTGAAAAGCTATGCGAAGACCAAGGCCGCAAGTGCCACATACAGCCCGCGGTGGCCACGACCGGCGACGGACTCACTGAAGGCTTCCAATGGCTCTGCGACACCATGGCACCACTCTAATACGACCGTCTTACCGAGCGTAACATCGTGCCTTTGTTCTGCGACGCGCAGTATACCGTCCCTGGCAGCCTCGCAGCCAGCACAGGTTGCTTGGACGAGCTCCTTGAGAGGAGTAATGCCAAGTGAAGCCCAGCGCTAATGCCAAGTGAAGCCCAGCGCAGCCTCGCGCCCGGTCACTTGCCTTTGCCAGCGGTTCCCAAGCTCGGTAGAGGGACATCGCTCCATGGCTTGTCCGACCACGACAAGGAGCTAGAGCACCAAGTGGAAGCTGAGGATGCCACGCATTTGGACCAATTATGGCCAATCGGCGGCAAGATCGTGCCCCAGAGCCAATCAAACGCGAAATAAAAAGGGAGGGAAATAAAGCCCACACAAATTCGTTTCGCAGCATGCCGCAAGCAGCGTCGCAGAAGGCTGGTGGCCGCGGCCATGGCGGGCGCGGAGGTCGTGGCAATGGTGGGCGTGGCAACCAGAACCGGCCGAAGCTAACGCATGCGCAGCGCGTGGGCCGCGAGATCGCGCGGGTGCTCGGCGAGCGCAAGATCCACCTCGTCGTCCGAACGGTCGAGCTCATTGGCGAGCGCTTGACGCGCAGCGTGCTGAGCGAGACGCTGCTCATGGACAAGGAAGGCAAGACGCTCAAGACCACCACGGGCCGCGAGCGTACGCTGGGCGGCGCGTTCTTCACGCTGCTCAAGGAGCGCGTGACCAAGGAAAAGTACAAGGAGATCTACGCGCTCGAGGAGGAAGCCAAGAAGAAGGCGCGGAAGAATAAGGAGCGAGCGGCGCGGATCAAGCGCGAGAACGAACTCATCGGTGGTCTGACGAGCCAGATGATCTTAAAGGACGACGACGATGCCAAGGCGGACGAGGCCGACGACGCTGGCCCGTCCAACCCGCGCTTCCACTCGCCCCCAGACCGGGACGACGACGAGTTCAACGATGCCGATTACGAGATGGACGATATGTAAGAGGCTCTATTTATCAACAGGAAACGACCCGCTGGAACCTATTACGCGCGCTTGTTGACCATGTGCATACCGAGCGCGATCGAGCCCGCAATCAGCGTCATCATGGTCGCGTGGCAGAACCAGTGGCTGCGCATGGGGCACTTGCCTTCCTTGGAGAAGCCGAGCGGGCAGCAGCCGTGGGTCGGCTCGGTCTCGCGACGCAGAATGCCCATCTCAATCGCCGTCTGGGCCCACTCAACGCCGTGGTTGTGGCCGCCTTCTTCGAGGCCGGCACGCGCGCGGGCTTGGGTTTCGTTGAGGCAGGCCAAGACCCCCAAGAGGACGGGCACGCCCGTGGTGAGGTTGAGGTCCTTGATGCCCTGCGTGACGGCTTCGCAAATGTACTCAAAGTGCATCGTTTCGCCCTTGATCAAGCAGCCAATGCAGATGACCGCGTCGACAGCCTTGGACGAGATCATGCGGCTCGCAGCGTACGGCAGTTCGTACGCGCCCGGCACGGAGAAGAGCACAATGTCCTTGTCAGCAACGCCAGCCTCCTTGAGCGTGGCGACGGCGCCATCGCGGAGGGCCGAGATGACTTCTTCGTTCCACTTGGTGTAGCAGATGCCGATGCGGAGGCCACGGCCGTCGAGGGCGCGGGTGCTAAGCGCTTCGAGCGCAGCCTTCTTGACGCCGGTCGCGTGCATAGTGGTCTTGGTTTCTGCGGTGAAAAATGCGGATTACCACGCATTCGAAATCCTCCGAATTCGGCAACTGCCATGCTATTTTAGACGCGCGTACAGGTGCGCGAGGCACAGGTGCCGCTTCAAGCGTGCCAAGTTCTGATTGCACTTCTAAGATCGCGTCCCTCCATGGTATGACGACTTGTGCCTGGAGGCGCCTCATGCGCGCCGCTTAGTACCGTAGTCACAGCGGCGGCAACTCGACGGTCGTCGTTGCCGGCGGCCGCAAGCGACTACACACGACCTTTGCCGACGGCGTCGAGCTCGTGGAAGAGTACACGAAGGATGGCCCGCCCGAGCTCCTGGGTATGGCATCGACGATAGCGCTGAGCTACCACCGGTCTACGTCTAGTGCGCCGATGGAAAAACACGACGGCACTCGGCGGCGACGGGCGGTGGGAGTACGAGATTGGTGAGCCGCTTCCGGTAAGAATGTCCTTGTTGGTCGGTGCGCCAAGTACCTTGGGCGGTAGGCCGAAGGTCGAAGCCGCGACATTGGCTTGGCCCCAAGCAGCACGCAGGTACTGCACGTGCTGTGGAGTTGAAAGGTCGCAGTGGCGTCGTACTAGCCGACGTTTCTGTGCCGCGAGGCGGCTACGCACTGGGAGTGGCGGGTGCGGAACCTTCCGTACCCGAAAGAGACGTATGCGATTGGCATTGACGACGACGCGCAAACGATCGTCATCCGGACGAGCAACAAGAAGTACTTTAAGCGCTTCCAGATCCCGGCCATGGTGCGCCAGAGCCAGCGACTGAGCGCGGCGGCGGTCTCGTTCACGCACGACAACAACACTCTCGTCGTCCACGTACGTCGACTCCTTGTCGAATCAAATCGAGATGGACGTGGGGTCTAGTACAAGAAACCGGACGCTGTCATGGCGGTCGAGCACCAGGAGTTGCGCGATCGGCTCCACGGCGCTGGGACCTCCGAGCCTCAGTGTCGCCAGCAGTGACACAGTCCATTGCGTTCGAAGCGCCGACTTGACTGTAGCTCTCTTCCAACACTTGGTTTCAACATACTGCATCATTGTCTTCAAGTGAACTATCAGATCTTAGCTCTCAACCCTTCTACGCCCACGAGTGACAACATCGCGTCGTAAGTAGCGACTCTCCTTAGCGACTCTCCTTGCGCGGGGTAACGTTGCAGAGCACAGAGCAGTTGCAGCGAGTGTTTGAGGCGCCATCGACCCAGTGAGCACCGTGCCAAAAGCACTTGTGGCAAGTGGCAAGAAGCATCGCCCCTGGTAGCCGGTTATAAGGCCTCTCCGCGTACCATCAAGAAGGGAGCTAGAATAGCAGAGACGCCGTTGTGTCGGTTCCAAAACAGCACAGCGTTTCAAGAATGACATCGCCTCGCGGCAATTCGAGCCCGCCGCAGTCGACGGGGACCGCCCTCGGTGAGGTGGAGGCCGCCGTGCCCCGCAACGTACACCGGCACTACCATGGACGAACGACGATGACGTTGCTTTAGGAACACGGTGGCGTCCTCGTCACACGCGATCAGATCCGGTCGGCGTTTGATTTCCTTGACGTCGACCAGCGCGGCTTTGTGACCCTGGAGAACCTCAAGGTATAATGGACCTCGTCGCGCTGCAACTTGTCTGCAAACCGGGTAGGCGCGTCTGAGCATCTTCTACCCCGACATGACGGCCCGTGACTTTCGCGTCCTGCTCAACAACGCGTCTGAAGTCACCGAGGACGATCTGTGCGACCTCTTGCTGCAGAACGACGTGGCCGACTACGATCCTGTCGCCGACGCCTTCCGCGCCTACGACCCGGACGACACGGGGTACGCTGCAGCTCGATTGAATGTTTCACGTGATGCGAGCGAGGTAGGTATGTGAGCTTCCAAGTGCTCTCGCACCTTTTCGAGCGGTTGGGGTATGGCAGCCTCAGCGACGACGACCTCAAGGTGCTCGTCGCAACCGCCGATGTCGACAAGGACGGCCGCCTCAACCTCGCCGACTTTCGGCACCTACTCGCCATGTAGCCATCGCTGTATAATCGCATCACAGTCTCTTGCTCACGCGCGTTTACACCCGTGCGGTAAAAGGACTCACGCCGACCACGTGGCGCCTTTTGGCGCGTTTTTGGCAGCCCACGTGCGTCTATTCCCACCCAATTCACCCCGGTGGCCAAGGGCACTCGCCCTGGCGTCGTGCGCATGAACGACCATCCTTGACGCCCTTGACAAAAAGGCAGCGCATGTGTGCTATTTGTGCTCGCCGAGACGCAGTTGGTCCTTTTGTCGACTCGACGGTGCAGAGACAGTGTGGTTAAGAGGCGTGCGTTTATCCAAGGGCCATCGCCACCAGCCGTCTTTAGTCAGAAACGAAAATGGCGTCGACGGACCTCGTCTTTGGCGTCTTTACGCCGCAGTGCTTTGAGACGTACTTTACGCAGCACGACTTCCTCCACGTGGCATGCTTCAAGGCCGTCCTCTCCAAGGCGCTCGGCTACGCCATCATCCTCGGCAGCTTCATCCTCAAGCTGCCCCAGATCCTCAAGATCATCGCCGCCAAGTCGGTCGCGGGCCTCAGCCCGTCCGGCTTCTACCTCGAGGTGCTCGTCTTCCAGGCCAGCGTCGTCTACAACTTTCTCCGCGGCTACCCCATTAGCACCTGGGGCGAGAACGCGGTGATCCTCGTCCAGAACTGCATCCTCGTCGTCCTCCTCTGGGTCTACTCGGGCGCGCCGCGCTCGCAGCAGCTCCTCGGCGTCCTCATCTTCGTTGGTCTCGGCGCCGCCATGCTGCACCTTCCGGACGAGCACCTCTGGATCCTCCCGTCCGCGAGCATTCCCGCTTCAATCATGTCGCGCATCCCGCAGGTCTTCTCCAACTTTAAGCAAGGCCACACGGGTCAGCTCGCCTTTGTGACGCTCTTCCTCAACCTCGGTGGCGCCTCTTTACGTCGCTCCAGGTAGACCTTTTCCGTCATTATCGAGTACTTATTCGGATGGATGGATGGATGTAGGAAACTGGCGACCAAGTGCAGATGCTGGGCTTCCTCATCTCGGTTGCGCTCAACGGCATGCTCGTGGCGCAGGTCCTCTTCTACTGGCGCGCCACGGACGCCGCCATGGCCAAGGAACAGGCCGCGACGGACAAGAAGAAGAAGGCGTAGGCGCCAAGTCGACGACGACCTCTGTGCATACGACCGCCCCCATCTTCATGACGTTTCCGTCGACCAAAGACGAAAGAGTAAATTAGAAACAAAGATCAGGAGGCAACCACCATCTCGACACTGGCTTCGACTGCGAGCGCAGTCGCGTCGGGCTTGATCGCTATCGGCTCTACCGGGTCGGGCTTGGTCTCTACCGGGTCAGGCTTGGTCTCTACCGGGTCAGGCTTGGTCTCTATCGACTCGGCCGGGAGTTCAGGCGCCTCGGTAGGCTTGGTCACGCGTCGACGGACTTGGGGTGGGCCCTGCGTCAAAACGGCGGGAAACGCGTCTGCGTTGAGAAACGTGATGAGCTTGGGCGTGTGCAGCGAGCTGTAATAGCGGATGGCAGGTCCGGTGAACTTGGCCTTGGGAACCATGTCGTCCGCCCGCTTCTCTTCCTCCATACGCTCGAGTCGATTGAGGCTCTGTGTGTTGTCGACTTCGGTGCGGACAGCTTCGGCGAGGAGCTGGGCCTGGGTCATGCGCACAACGACCTTGGGCGCGGCCGCGTTCTTCTCGGCCTGTGCCTTACGCGCTTCTATGGCGTACCGCTCCTGTAAATCGTGCGACAAGACCCGCTTGTTGATCGTGCTTGACCGAACCTCCATGGGCGCAACGTCAATGGGCATCGGCGGCGCGTCGACCACGGGAGCAGCACGCCGAGGCCGCTTCGGCGCCACCGGCACGGGCTCCTTGAAGGCGGAGCGCGTGTTTCGGGCGCGTTTGGCCGGGCGCTCTTCGTCTGCGTCGTGCACGTCGTCGTCGGGCGCTTCGTCGTCGAAAAAGTCCGAGTCGACGACGTCCTCTTCCTCGGCTTCGGTCGAGTAGTCGTCATCCTCGCCTTCGGCCCATACCTCGTTGTTCCAGAAGGTCTCGTCGGCTTCGGCAGCCTCGCCGATGAGCTTGTTGATGCGCGACCCGCGGCTCGACCGGCTCGGCAGCGCGTACTTGGCCATGCTTCGAGCAAATGCTGGAATCTTTGAGCATCCGGATGCGTTGTGCCGAATCTTGTATTTAAATTCGGCACCTACCATGAATTCGAGGCGCGTCCAAGATAAGAACGGACAAGACAGCCATGCCGCGGTGAATCATCGTCTGGATGCCAACACCGAGAAGAACGAGTCCCGTTAGCGCCCTCGTCGACCTTCCCGGATTCATTCGTAAGTTAGCGTGTTAGAATCGACAAAATCGACAAGTTTCGACAGCACCGGTTGAGAAACGTCTGTCACGTTTATAGACAAAGAACTTAGCGTTGTGCAGTTGTCACGCCGCCATGAGCCGTACACGACGCGTGCAGCCGTGCCTAGCGCTCGTCCTTCTCATGGCTCTCTGCACGCTCATGCTGGAGCTCCAAGTCGGCATGGACAATTTGTTTGTGGCGTCCGTCGCGCTCTCGGCAACGACGTCGCTGCAACGCCTCAACGAGTCCGAGTCTGCACCGACTGCTGCTACCATTGAACCCAATGCGAGTGTCGCGGCGCCGATCGCAACGGCAGCGCCAACTGCGCTGACGACGACGGCGACAGTAGAGAAGCGAGCGCCAACAACGGAGGCACTTGCACCACCGCCGACGCCAGGCAAACTGGCTTACATGCTCTACGCGACCGACGCGATCACTGCGTGCAGCGCCCTCATCATGGCCGACAGCATTCGACGTCTCGGTACACCTGCGTCTGTGGACGTCGCCGTCCTCGTCACGGGCTCGATCTCCCAACACATCCACGACGCCCTCACCGCCGGCGGGCTCGTCGTCCTTCCCGTCCCGTCGTGGCGTCAGCCCAGTGCGCCCCACGACACGTGGGTCGAGTCGCTTACAAAGCTGCGCATCTTTGAAGAGCACGGCTACGATCGGGTCATCTACCTCGACTCGGATGCGTGGCTCCACCGCAATTTGGACCATTTGTTCTACCTCGGCGAGGCGGTGTTTTGGGCGCCGAGGGCGTACTGGCTCAACCAGCCGTTCATCGCGTCGACGCTTCTCGTGGTAACCCCTTCGAACGCTCTATTTCGTCGTCTCGAGACGACCGTGGCAGAGCACCCGGGACAGGAAATGTACGACATGGATGCTCTCAACACGGCGTTCAAGAACGAGTACGGCATGCTTCCGAGCCACTACGTGTTTCTCAATTCCGAAGTCAACAACGACAAGACGTTTGGGTTTGCATCGGTCGACGAGCGCATCAACAAGACGTACGTGCACCACTACTCGATGATGGACAACGGCGGGTACGGGAAACCGTGGCGCATGAACCGCCACGTCATCGCACGCAAGCCCGAGTGGCACCCGCTCTTTTACAAACTCTTTGAAATGTACTTTGAGCGCCAAGACGCCTTGTGCCACTTTTAACAAGGTCGACTCTATATGGCCTGTCGTCTAAACGGACGGACCCTTGACGCCCAAGGCGAGACCCTTGTAGTGGCCCATCGTCATCTGCCCAACGTCACCGCGAGATGACGTAATTGTCATCCTCTTCAACGTGGAGCTGTCAATCCAAAGAATCTCGCATCCTGCGGTGCCACGTATTCAATCCGATTGCAGCGTCTAGTCTTCTGCTCCTTGCAGCCTGCAAGGAATAGCCTACCTAGTCCAAAGTGTGAAGGCTTGTCTTTATTCGCGGCATGTGCCGAATCTAGTTTCCGGATGCCGGATACGCAGCCTCGCGGGAGAACGCTCCGCGTGGTCATCATTCCTGGACTGTAGCATGCGACTCCTCCATCTTGTTCTCGTCGTCCTGGCCATGGCGCTGGCCGTCGTCGCCGACCCGCCGCCCAAGGAGGACGACCCCGCGCTCTCCAAGATCCGCGTCCTGCGCAACGAAGCGCTCAAGCTCAAGGACAAGCGCGCCTACGGGCAGTCGGTGCAGAAGCTCGACAAGGCCATCCGGTCGCTCCGGGACCTCCACGAGTCTCGCACGGACGCCAAGAAGCGGACGGCCGACGCAGCGCTTCTGGGGCAGACGCTCAACGAGCTCGGGAACGTCCTCGCGCTGGACCAGCGCTACGAAGATGCGGAGCGCGTCCTGAAGCAGTCGGTCGACCTCAACTTGAAGGTCCTCGGCGACTCGCACCCGTCGTACTCACTCGCGCTGCGCAACCTCGCTGAGGTGTACATGGCGCTCGACAAGTACGACGAAGCGATCTCGAGCTACAAGACGCTCAAGTTCCACGCGCAGCAAGGTCTCGGCCAGCAGCACGCCGCCTGCATCGACGCCTCGCGTCGCATGGGCGAGTCTTTCCAGAAGCTCGGCAAGTTCAAGAAGGCCGTCAAAGTCTACAAGACCATTCTCAAGCAGCTCGACCTCCCGACGCCCGAGAGGTATGAAAGCTTCCTGCATGCGATCGTTGCTCATGGCGTCGAGCTAGCTCCGGGGAGATCATGGGCGAACCTGGCGTCGGTGAAATCTTCATGGGCCTCGCAAGCAGCCTCCTCCGCGTCGACAAGCTCGACGAAGCGATCCAGTACGGCGAGCGCGCCGAGCACATCATGCGTGTTCGCGATGGCGAGAACTCGATGGGCTACGCCTTTAGCCAGAACGTGCTCGCGGGGGTAAGTCGCTCCTGCTGAGGTAGACGGCATGGACAATGGAATCGATGTAGATTTACACGCACAAGGGCGAAGAAGACGTGGCGCTCGACTACCTCGAGACGGCGCAGCGCATTGCAGTCCGCGAATATGGCTTGACGCATGAGATCGTTAAGGCCGGTCAGCGCAACATTGAGCGCCTCCAAGACCGTGTGCAGGAGAAGAAGGACCGGAAGAAGAGGAAAGCAGAGTTGGAGGCTGCCACGGACGAGAAGACGGAGTTGTAGATCATCGACTCGTCTCGTAGTTAGTCGGTCGTGTCAACTATACAAGGACCTAAAACCTTTTTCGAACGAAACGCCTGCGTATCCGATTTTCAAGTGGTAGAAAAAGGACAAGTCCGGATTTTCTATCGATGTTCGACAAAATGTCTCTCTTGGTGTTTGTATGAAAGACTTGGCAAATTCCAAAAGACGGCGGCGGCGACGACAACGATGGTCTACTGGACCCCGCGGAAGCGGTCGGCCTCATGCGCTTCCTCCTGTAGTCTGGGTACGAGGCAGAGGAGACGATCAAGCGCATCAAGAGCCACAAGGGCGTCCAGGCCGTGCTCATCGTCAACAACGACGGCGTCCCGATCTACTCGAGCACGAGCGACGAGGAGTTTGCGATCGACCACGCGGCCTTGATCTCGCAGCTCGCGGCCAAGGCCAAGAGCACGATCCGGACGCTGGACCCGACGAACGACATGACGTTCCTCCGCATCCGCTCCAAGAAGCACGAGATCATGATCGCGCCCGACAAGGAGTATGCGCTCATCGTGATCCAGAACCCGAACGCGGGGACCGACGCCGAGATCACCGAGCTCGCCTAAGACGCTGCTCTCATTGTAATTACATATGCTTCTGTGATCATGGCATCGCGGGCGTGTTGCCGAGGACGTGCTGGAGCGACGCGGCCTCGGGGTTGTACGCCGGCGTCTCGACGAACTGGAGGAAGAGGTTGCTTATCCGCTTCCGGAGCCCCTCGAGCGACTTGACGCTGCGCCCGCGGTTGAGCATGTCGGCCTCGCGGTCGATGAGTTCGATGAGCTCCCGCGTCAGCGCGCTCTCAAACTCCTTGACCGTCCACTTGACGTGGAGGAGCACATCGAGGCGCTCGTCCACCGTCGCCAACGGCAGCTTGAGGCCATGGTAGAGGTCGCTGAGCTCTTTGGCGCGGATCTACATGGCCGCGTCCAACTACGTCGTCATAAGGCGACGTACGGTGAAGGGGTCTCGACAGGCTTGATCTGGCCGTCGCTCATCTGCCACTGCTTTGGCCGGCTCAAGACCGTGAGCATCGACTCGATGCGGGCCTTGCGGTTGGTCTCGTTGGCCGACATCTTGAGCTTGTCGATGGTCTGGAGAAGCTTGGTCTCCTTTGCGAGGATCGCCGCCATCGCCGCCGCTCGCCCCTCGGAGGACAGCCCCGGGTCCAAGCTGCTGATCTCAAAGAGCCGCCAGTTGTCGAGCTCGTTGTAGAGCACTTCAAAGTCGCTGTGGGACTGCGGGTGCATGCGCCGGTCGATCTCTCGGCGCTGGCGCGATGCCAGATGCACGCGGGTTTCGTCCGCAAACTTCTCGTCCGAGTTGAACATCTCGAGCTTCTTGGCGCGGATCGCGTGGACAAAGCAGCGCGCGCGGTACCTACCCTTCGCATCATGGACCTCGTCAAATCGCGATGATGGTATACGCGCGCCAGTGGCACTGCAGCACGAGACACGAGTCCATGCGGAGGCAGTCGAGCTGCTCGGCGTTAAAGTACGGCTTGGGCTCGACTTGGCGGTCGAGGGACGAGTCGATCGAGACGTCGCCGCGGTCCATTTGCGTGCCCGACTCGCGCTGCGTTTGGGCCGACTTGGTCACCGTCTTGTGCGTCTGCGTCTCGCGGTGGAAGCGTGGAGGCCCGAGGCGCACCTTTTGCTTGGATACGTCTACCAAGCCACCTCGGGCATCAAGGCAGGCAGACGCGTCGAATCAGTACCTGGGCCGACGCGTGGTGGAAGATCTGGTCGCTGATCTTGTGGCGAAAGCCGCCCAGGTACGGTTTTTTGCCCGTGAATTTCAGAATCTGGACTGGAAACGAGTTGAGGAGCTGCCCCGCCTCTAGAGCATGAGCATCCTCGGTATCGTTCTCGCGGCTCGGAGGATGGAAGGATGGATGGTACCGCTGAAGACGGACACGTCGATCGCATCCGGCATCTTGTACTCGCTCGAGCCGACTTTGACCTGAACGACGCTCGCGTGGAGGAGGATTTCTTGGTCGTTGTTGGCGATGAGGCCGGCGTGCGCCAAGGTAAAGGTCATGGCGTCGTAGCCGTGGGCGGCGCAGGCTACAGACGACCTCAGTTGCCGAGCAGCATGCGTCATATTTGCACCATCGTCGAGCTCGGGGATCTTGAGCGCGCCGGGCGTGAGCTTGAGGTCGGATGTGACTTGGTCCTTGAGCTGCTTGAGCGTCGACGTGGCGGCCGCGAGCACGCGGTGGCGGAACCCGTCGGGTTCGAGCACCAAGATGAGCTGGAACTCCGTGTCGAGGGGCGACTCTTCCGCGGCCTCAACGCGCGCATCGGCTTCCGGCGGGTTGCCCATGCGTTTTGCCTCTGAAACGACTACCGACTCTAGTTAGTTTATAGTAGAAAAGCCGCCACAGTCGCGTCGAAAACGCCACACACTCTATATTTCCAAAGCCAACTCACTACCGGTACAATCACATTGCTCAACTTTCTAGTCGAAGGTCAGGGCTTGCCGTAGTACGTCGTATTGAGGTACACCATCTTCTGAAACTCGGCCGGGCAGTACGGGAAGAGGATCGTCGGGTCGGCAATGGTCGGCGCGAAGAGCTTCTTGCCCGTGCTGATCGAGACGTAGATCGCAAGCGCCGACGTGAAGAGGATGATAAAGATGCTCCAGCCCTTCTCGAGGAGACCCATGTCCTTGTAAAAGACCTTGAGGTGGAACCAGACGGGGAGGATCATGCAGCCGAGCGCGGCCGACGACGCGCCGACAAAGTCGAGCAAATCCAAAAAGTGGTTTTGCCAGATGATCGCGACGATCGTGCTGATCGTGATCTGGACAATGCGCATCGTGCACGCCTTGAGGTAGTCGGTCGATGACGCGTACACGGCGACGGGCGCGTCGACCTTGGACACGACGGCGTCCTTGGGCGTCTCGGTCGGTTGAAACGCCGGCGACTCGCCCGTCTCGAGCGCAAAGTTCTGCTTGTGGAAGCCAAAGAGCACGCGCTCAAAGATGTAGAACGTCGGGAAGAGGTCGATCGCGAACGCGACGCTGATGTGCAAGTGCATCATGAGGAAGGCAATCACGACCGCGCCGCGGGGGGCCGTGAACCCGAGCTTCGTACCGGCGATCGAGAAGAGGAGGTTGCCGGGGATCTGGCACCCGACGTTGTGGTCGCCGATGAGCGACACCACAAAGAAGAGCATTGTGCAGACACCGAGCGTGAAGAGAATAACACGCGGCATGCGCTCGGGCTGCGTGTGCTCGCGCTGAAGGGCCGGAATGAGGACGCCGGCGGCGTACCCAAGCGAGAGGTTGCCAAAGACCGACGTGACGCCATCAAACGAGGGCGATGGCGTCGGCGCGGAGAGACCTTCGGGAATGTCCGACATGTTGTCGAGGAGCACGTAGAGGGCGACGGCGTCCGCGATGAGCGTGCCGAACGCACCGGCCGTCGCCGTCCCCGCGCTTTCCTTGAGCGACGGCATCATGCAGATCGGGAGGAGGCTGAGCGCCATGAGAATGATCCAGACGGTCGCCGTGAACGTGTTGGGGAAGAGCACGTCGAGAAGCGACCCGCCGAGGACGAGAAAAGCAATCGGGTCCAAGCAGCAGACGAGAAGCTGCGAGAGCGTCGTGATGAAGCGGCCAAAGCCGCCGTAGACCCACTCGCCAATGTCACCGTACGTCTTGACGTATCTGGGCGCGGCCAGCATCACCTTGGAGAGAGCAACGGTGGCGTAGAGGTTGATGGCCGCCATGAGCACGAGTGCACCGGTGGCCCAGTAGTAGCCGGCGCGCGCATAGTTGGCCGGCATCCCGAGGGTCCCGACGCCGTAGACGACGCAGAACAAGTTGAACGAGATCTTGATATCTTCGAGGGTCAAGAACGCCATGGCTCGCGGTGGGCAGACAGGCGAAAAACGAAAAGTGAGACTGGAGCGCTCGGTCGCGTGACGTGGTTGTGGTCGTCCTCAGGAACGAGATGCACGATCCTTGCCTCTGTGACCGTGCACCCTTTCGGTACAAACGTGGTTGAAATCGGAACGTGTCACGAAAGCGCCCGTCAGGTGACGCGAAAAATACGCTACGCTCATTGGTCTGCTTCCTTCCCGCGTGCTCGAACCTAGTTGACTTATCCCCAAAGTGAGATATTTCGGACGTTTCATGTCCACAGAAAAACAGATGTTTACGGATTGCGCGGGGCAATTGTCCATGATACGCCACGTCTACGGGTAAGATTCTAGGGCTCACGGAAGACGTGCCGTTCACCTTGCAAACACGTGTTGGGTACGAGTGGATGTGGGCCTGCTGCGCACATACAGTACTGCCCTTTCGGCCGAGATGACTTGAGTGACTCGCCGAAACGGGTCGGGTGGTGGATGGCCCCCTTGTCGTGCGCAAGCGCGGCGTCAACGTCAAGGTTTAGCCACCCGCGACCCAGTGGTTATCGATCGCTCATACGCCTGCGCTCAAATTGCTCAAACTCTAGCGAAACAGCCCCACGGCAGTCAAGTACTACATCTGATCAGAACTGAGAGGAAAAGAGGAGCTGATCAGAACTGAGGGGAACAGAGAAACTGATCACAATGGACCATCTACGTTCCTTAAGGATTGCCGCCGTAAAACAGGAAGTCGCATGATAGACGACGCGCGTTCATGATCGGCGCCACCAAGCGCAGTACGCTTGCATCAGTACAAAGGGTTTAGTAAACGTACCATTCCGCCAAGAGTCTTGTAACATTAGCCGAGAAAATACGAACCCTGCGCCAAGGGTGAACTCAAGACTCATCAAATCGAATGCGTGGTACGCACACTGTACGACCACACGCGCCGTCCTTCGTTTCTAGGAGACGGCAACAGCTGCACGCTTTCATTATTCCTGCGATTATATTGGCTCGATCTTTTTGGTGTTGCGGGCTCTAATAGAACCGATATGACTGCAGCGCTGGAGAAGCGACGTAATAACTAATCGGCTCAATAGTCGCGAAACATCCGCTCCACTGGATGCTCTCGCCTATCGGTCCGCCACGTCACCCACGAAAAACCTAGTCCACGATACCAGCAAAAAGAGTGCATCCATGTTAGCTGATGTTCGGTGACGCTCCGTGAGCGAGCACCCAATACGTACTCAGCAACGAAACCCTACTGAAAACTAGATTCGGTAGTCGGAGTCCAAGGAGAGTACTGTCATCGTGCACCACGGTCTTTCCAAGGACCAGCGAAGCCGGTATTCTACTTCAACCAGGTACACGTAAGTACCTAGCGACCACGGATGCTGCCTTTGGCTCAACCGCCGTGCGCCAATGGTGGCAATAAGGACTTGTCCGAGTTTGGTCAGAAGTGTACATTTAATACGTCCTTATCTCAATGCAGCCATTGACGGCTCACGCCCATTTCATATACAGAATACCAAGCAATGCGAGACCCGCGGGCACAAAGATGCCGAACAAGTAGAGCTGCGACGTCTCGTCCGGACAACCGCTGCCACCCGCTAGCTTGAGGCAATTGGTCGACTCAAACATTGACGACATCGTCCCCGTGATGGACGTCGCGAGGATGACGAAGAAGGCGTAAAAGATGCCAGCGGCGACGTTCGGGTAGCTTCCGCCGTGCTGCTTGAGCTCTAGGACCGCTTCCTTTTGACTGGGCAGCAAAACGACCCAGAGACAGCCAATGACGGTGGAGGAATACGCAATCACATACGTCCATGCGACCTCATCGCGCGTCTCGGGGAGGTCCGTCTTGATCGCGCGGTTGCTGACGCCAAAGTTGGCGTCAATGACGTTGGTGATCATGGGGCCAAAGACGCCCGGAAGATTCGTAATCGTGGTGAGAAGGCCGTAAATGACACCTTCACTGCCTTCTTCGGCCAACTCGACAATGACAAAGGTGCTCACGACGAAGCCGATCCCAACCGGCAGCTGCTCCGTGAGCGGAACACCGAGGTAAAACCACTGGTTGCGCACTACGTCGTAAATGGTACAGAACTGCACGACGGCGTCGATCGCGTTGGCCGAGATCGTCGTCGCCACGAGCACGTAGCGCCAGTTCCAGCGCGTGCCGTACTTGCCTGTGACCACGAGGACGGTCGCAAAAATGAGGTTGCCGAGAATACTCGTGAGCGACGCATTGAGGTTCTCGACCTTGGCCCAGTGCAGCGCCACGTACGGCGCCGCGGTTGTCGAAATGTACGAGGCAAAGAGTGAAAACATAAAGTTGAAGATCATGACTTGCCACACGACGCGCTTCTGCGCGAGCGTCCAAAATTGCGCAAGATATGTCGAGATCGACACGCGGGTGGTCGATTTGGTGTCTTGGAGGAAAAACCACACAACCGGGATGTTGAGGATCGAAGTGGCGGCCAGAAGCCAAAAGTACCCGTTGACGCCAATGTCCCAGTCGTATGTGCCGGTCATGCGCGTCGAGTTGAGGCAGAAGCCAGAGACTGCCGTGATGATGGCCATGAAGACTGTGCGCACCGAGTAGACCATCGATTGAAGCCGGCCGCGTGTCGCCACGGGCTCGCGCTGCGCGTACGAGACAAGCAGTGCGTCCTGCGCGACGTTGGCTATGATGTAGCAGAAGCACGCAACGGTGCAGAGCAGGGCGAGCACCGACCCGTTTGAGGTTGCGTTCGCATCAGGCGCCGGCTCGCCCGCGGGCTTGAGGGCCACGACGACAAGGAGGACGGCTGTGAGGGTCCATCCGAGAAGGATGTACGGCTTGCGGTGGTAGCCAAACATCGGGAAGCAGTCCGTGAGCATGCCGAAGAAGACCTTGAGCGACCAGCCAAGGCTCATGAGCGCCGTCGCGGAGTTGAGGACGTTGCCTTGCAGTTGGAAGAAGCCGGTGAGGATCGGGTACTTCATGCCCGAGATGCCGCCGTAGACGACACCGATAGCCGCGTACTGGAAGAGGAGTGCAAGGACCTCGGGCGATGTGTAGATAGGCGCGGCGCCGTCGCGGAGACCGCCGGCTTCGACGTCTATCGGGGTTTTGATGTGGTCGTAGTCGTCTGCAGCCTTGGCAAGGCCCGTCGGCGACGTCACATACGAGAGACGGTCGGTCGCACCGAGTTTGTTGTGCTGCACCAGCATACTGCGTCGGGAAACCTTGAAGGAGAGACGCGGCGGTACAGGTGACCACGCAGACTTTAGTGCGCGCGGCGTCTGAGACTCGAACAAGTAGCCATGGGTCGGCGGTTGCTTATTCTTCGAGGCCCAAGCGTCGCAGTATTGAGCATCAAGACCGAGGGACGGGGCATCACTCGATCGCGCTCGTTCCGATGGCCACTTGGAAATGCCGCGCAAAGCATCCACCATACGACGAGAACAGGTGCCTTCTTGGACGATAGCTTTTTTGCATCAAGAGGTTGGCGCCGGGGAGGCAGATCACGACGCCTCACTTCAGTCTTTGTTCGTGATGCATCGCTATTCAAGCAGCTTTTGTACTTGGCACCACGACCACAAACGTCCCACGCTCCAGGAGCTGTTGATTGTGCGACGAAGCTCTACGAAAGGGTAGGTCCGTTGTACATGAGCACGCAGCAATCTTGATACGTTGATACTATTCCAGATACAACGTGATCATCCAGAACGCACTTATCGAGAGCAAGCAGCTTGCGTCCGTTGGTCCTGCGGCTCCTGTGACTCGTTGGTATCATCTATAAGAAGTTTGTTTCTGAGTTTCTGATTGCAAGCCAGAACGCCAACCAGTACTAGTATGTTTTGTATCAATCCATCTATGGATCTTTAGAAAGCGCAACACAAGGGCAGTGACAGAAGTGTGTTCAACTATATCTCTCGTCTCGATTACTGGATACGGTGGTAGCGGACACCACGGCCCGACCGCTTCACAACGACAAGCACCAAGGCGAGAACGCAGACGGCGACGACGGCAAAGAGGCTGCCCGCGTCCGTCGGCGACGACGCGGCCGAGAGCGACGTCCAGCTGCCGCCCCAGAACGACTTGGTCAAGCGTGGGAACAACTTGACGGCGATCGGCGTCTCGAGCGGCGCGGGCGTAAACACAAACGAGTCGAACGTGTTGTTGGGCGTTGCGAGAACGTTCGGGCCGCGGACGCCGTGCTTCTTGGACGGGCGGCGCGTCTTGGGCAGCTCGAGGGGCGTCGTGTTAAAGTACTGCACGACGCTGTTGCCCTGCGTCGACGCCGAGAGGACGCCCGTCACCTGCACCGTGACGGCGCCGCCGTCCGACGCCGACGCGTACACGTCCTGGCACGCGACCGAGCCGAGGTTGGCGACACCGGCGTCTTCGGCGGTGATCTTGCCCGTGACGCATGTGCCATGGGGATAGACGTTGACGCGGCCGAGGTCCTCGGCGTCGACAATGAGCTTGCCGACCTCGACGTGGTCGACCGCCTGCAAGTAGACGGCGCCAGCATCTTGGGCCATAGCTTTGGCGGACGGCACCACGGCGACGTCGGCGGCGAGCGCGACCACGCCGCGGTCCTCGGCCGTCAAGCTGAGTTTGTACGCAACATTGAGCGACGGCGTCGAGACTTGCACCGTCGACGCATCGGCGGCGTCGAGCTTGAGGTTGTACGCGGCGAGCGACGCGTTCGTGGCGTAGTGGATCGAGCCGGCGTCGTACGCACGCAGCGTCACGTTGGCCTGCGCGCTCGACGCGAGCGCGCCGTCACGGACCACCGTGTGCGCCTGGGACGAGATGTACGAGACAGGGGCGTTGGCGCGGACGGTAACGATGAGCGCGCCGGCGGTCGCGGCGTCCGGGTACGCGTGCGTGAGGTTCAAGTACGAGTTGTTGGTGCCCTTGTACTGGCGGTAGGTGACGTCGGCGAGCACGAGGTCGAGGAGCGCCGCCGAGTTGGACGCGATCGTGACGTCGGTGGCGTTGCCGCCGTCGTTGGCGCGGACGACGACGCGGCCCGGCACGTCCAAGTAGAGACCGTAGAGTGTCTCGTTCGTGCTGAACGTCTTCTCAAAGAGACCCGGCGCGGTGATTGTCTCGGACGACATGTGGCAAAGTGCAAAGTGACAAAGGCGGTCAGGCAGTTTAGAGTGTGTGTAAGGAGAGTGATGGTTCCGCGCCGCCGTCGCCTCGGACAGGCGATTGGCCATGGGCACGCGACGGCGCTCGACAGTGGGCGTGCACGGGAGCGAATGGCAGAGAGCCGCCGTAGAGAGCCGGCGGGAGGTGGAGCTGGAGAGTTGAGCTACCGCTATCGGAGCTCTATTAGGTGTGGTTTGAGACTGTGGTTTGGTGTCGCGACATATGAGGAAAGGCGACACCCATGGCTGTAAGATCTTTGCTGCCGCCCAGCAGCGCAACGATAGCCGCCCAGCGTGGTGGTTGCTTCGTCCCAAGCTCGGAGCAGAAAGAGTGTAAAGACAGGTCGTGCAAGGACTTGGTAGATCTGCTTCTGTGTGCGAATTCGCTCCATCGCCTCGCAAGAGTGCCCGAGGAGACGATCGGTGTTGATGGATGCTCCAACCACAAGCAGCAGCAGCTGGCATGGACGTCAGTACCGTACTTTCTAGAACACGTCACGCAGCTGCGTTTGGAATCTGACACCACTGCGCGTTGTACGGCAGGTTGGGCGCTTCCTCAACGAACAGATTTGAAAATTGGTACGGCAGGTTGGGCGCTTCCTCAACGAACAGATTTGAAAATTGGAATTGAGTTTGAGGTGTTTAGAAGGACGGCCCGAGTGGCATTTCTCTCAACCTCTGAAAATCGTCTCACATTGGATGCGCTGATAGCGTCCACGCGCGACACGCTTGATGACTGGATGCGCTGGTAGCGTCCACGCGCGACGCGCTTGATGGCAACGACGGCCGCGAGAAGGACGAGCGCGGCGCAGGCGACAAACGACGTCGCTTCCATCGAGGCCGCCACGGCCGCCGGCGCCGCGTCCAGCGCCGTCCAGCCACCCCAGCTCCAGCTCCAGCCGTGCTCACGCGGCGTAAAGACGATCGCGATGGGCTCGGGCCGGGGCGTCGGCAGGAGCGTCGTCGTCGCATACTCGTTCGTGCTCGTTTCGTGGACGTTGGGGCTGTCGAAGCGGAACCACTTGTGCGGGCGGCGCGTCTTGGGCAACTGCGACGGCGTCGAGTTGAAGTAGGCCACGGCGCCGCCGTCGTCCGTGCTCGCGTGCAGGACCCCGGTCGTCTGCAGCACAATGCGCCCCGCATCGGCCGCCGACGCATACGAGTCGACGCAGACGACGGAACCGATGTACACGGCGCCGAGGTCGTCGGCGTCGACCTTGCTCGTGCTGCACGCCCCCGACGGGTACACGCTCACGACGCTGGCGTCGTCGGCCGACGTCAGGAGCTTGTCCACGCGGACGTCCGAGTGGAGGTAGATGGCGCCGGCGTCGCTGGCGCTCGCCTTGAGCGTCGCCGCCGACGTGGCGTTGGCAGTGAGCGCGACACGGCTGCTGTCGTCGGCGTCGATCGAGAGCTTGGCGCCGACGGCGACCGACGGCGACACGAACTGGATCGTCGCCGCGTCCGAAGCGTCGAGCTTGAGGCTCTGCACGCGGACGCCGGTCGTGTCGGTGTAAAAGATGGCGCCGGCGTCCAACGCGCGGAGCTCGATTGCCGCCGTCGCGTCGGTCGTCGCCAATGCGCCTGCGTCCACGATCGTCTCGGCGTGCGTCGAGAGGTACGTCACGGGCGCGCCGAGCACGACGTCGACGAGGAGCGCGCCGCGCGTCACGTGGGCCGGGTGCCCGGTCGTGATGTTGAGGACCGGGTGGGGCCCGGGTACCGGCAGCTCGACGCCGTCGATCTCGATGTGCGTGTCCAAGCTGCGGTTGCCAACGCTCGCAAACACGAGCGCGAGGAGGTCCGAGGACGTGGCCGAGGCCGTCACGACGGCGCTGGCGTTGGCCGCCGGGTCGTAGCGGACGTGCACGCGCCCGGGCAGGTGCAGGAAGAGCCCATCGAGCGTCGCGTTAAACGTCCAGCGCTGCTGCACGAGGCCAGGCGGTGTAATTGTCTCGGAGGCCATGGCGCAAATTCGAATCTAATGGCACGCGGTGGGGCCCGGTAGCAGAATGTAGGTCCCGAATCCTGGTTCACAGAATGTAGGTTCTGAATCCTGGTTCGCAGGCTGGTCCAACTGTCAAGCTCGAGCAACTTCGTCGACCGTGTTCTTCTGGTACGGCGAGGGACCCAGCGCGAAGTCGGTTGTTGGGTGAACCGCTCGTGCCAAGGATGACGCTGCGCAGGCGAATTGGATCTGGCACAAGTTTCGCTGCGCCAAACCACACTACTGGTACTAGTACCGGTGCCGAACCAGAATGTGTGTTTGCAGATCTCTGCGTCGCGTGTCGCAGCTTGTGATCGTGCCGTTGGCTTGGAGCTTGCCTCGGACGAGAGCGAGCCTTCGCAGAAACCCATTCTGCGCCAAGGCACATTTCAGCGGACAGACGCGAGACCTAACGAACCGCCAGCGGCTACCTAAGTACCACAATCGACGGCACCAGCAGTCCCGTTGGTCATCAACCAGCGGTTCGTGTCAGCCAGTCGTCGTTGGTGGATCATGAGCCTGCATAGTAGACAAATTATTTCCTCAATTTGGTGTCTCCATCCGACGCAGCACAGTACACTACGTCAACGTAGCTGCGTCAAGGAGCGAACCGACGATCGCATCGCTCGAGCCGCCTTCGCGCCGGTGCGTCACGAGGTACCGGACGACGTCGACGTGTCCGTGCAGGCTCGCTCTATCAATCGCGCGCGTCGAGCAGCCCTCGTGACGATTGCGGTGTAAGAAGTCGACGACGTTCAAGTGACCGTTGGCGGCCGCCTCGTCCATCGCGCGCGTCGTGCAGCCCTCGCGGCGGTGGTCGTGCAGAAGGGCGACGACATTCAAGTGACCGTTTGCGGCCGCGCCGTCCATGGCATCCGTCGAGCAGCCCTCGCGGCGCACATCGTGGAGGAAGCGTACGACCTTGATGTGGCCGCGGGTCGCTGCTTCGTCCATGGCGCGCCATGTGGCCTCGTACCCGCGCGTGTGGAGGCTCTGGACCATCGGCAAGTGACCGGCCCGCGCCGCCAAGTCGAGCGCATTGGCCGTACAACGGTGGTCCTCGCGCAACAAGAGCATCTGCACCACCTTGACATGGCCCTTCCAAGCACCGATTTCGATCGCGTGCGTGAATGGCAGTAGGTCGGTCGGGCACAGCGCCGGCGACGCCAGGATGAGCTCCAAGAGCTGCTCGTCGTTCGCGGCCACGGCATGCGTCAGAAGGACGAAGCGCATAATGTCGTCGCATGCTACGAGGCGATGTAGGCAGTTGCTACTCCACTGTGCGAGCCATGGCGCAAAGGCGGCAGCGAATGCGGTCAGTTGCTGGTCAAGCGCGTCGTAAAAGGGCACGAGACGCAGCAGCCACGGGTGGCGAAAGGCCGAAGGGCGTAGCAGGCTGCAGCTGGCCTCATGCACGCAGCGCAAGCAGGCGCGGACGTCGGCGTAGACGCCAGTCTCGTAGCTGGCGATGAAGCGGACGAGCTCTGCGTTGCGGAGCACGGCGCCTGCTGCCATCGCGGTGAAAGAATTGCAGGCGACAGCCAATCACATGCTGGGAAGACACAAGCTTTTGGCCAATCCAAAGCACAGCACCGCGATCTTCACCGCGAATCATCGCTGGGTCAGCAGCAGGATTTCAGCCAATCCGATGGCCGCGAGCCACGGCCCAGGATGACGTCATTAAATTGCATCGTATTTAAAATGCAAAACAAAACATTCATTTATTGTTTGTATATAATGGCACGGTATTTCATAGAAACGCGTGCGCACTACACGCCCCACGCACGCTCGGAAATAGTCTGTGTTTAAAATGACACCATTTACGTTTTCGCTCCCAGCAGTCGACCACGGCAATAGTATGAACTTCAACCTCTAGACCGCAGGTCCATCATGCACCGATTTCAGCTGCAAAGGAGTCGCGCAAATCCCCTCTGGTCTTGCTTTCTCTCTTTTTTGAAGAGAGGCATCGAGACCAAGCGTCGCGTCGCTGCGTGGGGTGCGCAAGGAGCCGGACCAATGGAGAACGTACACTATTTGTGTCGACGAAGTCCAGGAATTCCGGTTTCATCCGGATACTGCGTATTAGTAGACAGCTCAAGAGGGGCGAGGAGTTCCTGACCACACCAGTTTCTGTTGCATCAACACGACGCCATGTTCCATGTAAGTCCTTGGCCGCGCCGTCCGTAGCCTCATGCGCAGGCTGCCACGTAGACTCCTCTGCGCGCCCTCAGCAAGCTCTCGGCTGCCCGCTTCGCCTCGACCCTCGTCGTCGCCGAGCACGCCGGCCAGAAGCTCACGGGCGGGACCCTGAGCGCGATCACGGCCGCGTCTAAGATTGGCGGCGACATCACCGTGCTCGTGTCGGGCTCCAACACGGCCGCCGTCGCGCAGGAGGCCGCGGCGGTGCAGGGCGTCAAGGCCGTGCTCCACGCCGACAGCGCGCAGTACGACCACGCGATTGCCGAGGAGGTCACGAACCTCGTCGCCGCCGTCCAGGCCGCGTCGAGCTTTTCGCACATCCTTGCGCCGTCGTCGAACATCTCGAAGAACTTTGTCCCGCGCCTCGGCGCGACGCTTGACGTGGCGCCCTTGACGGATGTCCTTGCGGTCGTCGACGAGACCACGTTCCAGCGCCCTATGTACGCTGGTAACGCGATCGCGACCGTGACGTCGTCGGACGCTGTCAAGCTCATGACGATCCGCCCGACGGGCTTTGAGAAGGCTGCTGCCACGGGTGGCTCGGCCTCGGTGTCGGCCGCGCCCACTGCTGCCCCCGCCAACTTGACCAAGTTTGTCTCGGAGGAGACGAGCTCGTCGGACCGCCCCGACTTGGCCTCGGCCCGCGTCGTCGTCAGCGGCGGCCGTGGCATGAAGAGCGGTGAGAACTTCGAAATGCTCAACACGCTCGCCGATAAGCTCAAGGGCGCTGTCGGTGCGTCGCGTGCGGCCGTCGACGCTGGCTTCGTCCCGAACGAGCTCCAGGTCGGCCAGACGGGCAAGGTCGTCGCCCCCGAACTGTACATCGCCGTCGGTATCTCGGGTGCCATCCAGCACTTGGCCGGCATGAAGGACTCGAAGACAATCGTCGCCATCAACAAGGACGCCGAGGCCCCGATCTTCCAGGTCTCGGACTACGGCGTCGTCGATGACCTCTTCAAGGTCGTCCCCGAGTTGACGGAGAAGATCTAAATGACACGAAGAAAGATTGTGTGCTTGTCTTGTGTACCATCCTCGCTTCCATCCGACGACAGCGCGGCCATGCAGCCAACGACGCCTGCATCCAGCCAGATTCGTTTCCATAGCACCACAGGCGGGACATGAGAATGTATTGGCACGTCTATAGCTGTGCTTAGTGGCCTCCGACGCTAGCTACAGATGCCGTGGCCTACCGTGCCCCGCGCGGGGATGCGAGCCGGATCCCCTCCCTTGGGTTCAGCGCCGGCCAACGCCGACGACGCGGACTTGAGCGTCCTGGACTTCGTACTGCACGTCCAGCGCATCAAAGGCGAGGTGGTTCACGCGGCCGGCCATCTTCCTTGTCTGCTCCACGCTGCGCACGTCGACAGCGAGCACCTGCGTGATGGCTGGTTTTCCATGAGCGCCAGCATCCTAATGGACGAGTACCGTCGCAGAGGCGGGCATGGTCCTCGGCGTAAAACGTGCTCGGGCGCGACAGGTGCAGCAGCGCGTCCAAGGCCTCTGGCGCCCACGCGACCGACCTACGTGGCACGCTCGAGCCGCCTCCACCAGGTGTAAGCGCACCGCTGCGTCGATACGGTCGCGGCGATCCACGGCGCGACCGCCACGTCTGTCGGGTCCATGCAGTCGTAGGCTGCGACGTCCCATACGAGCGATGATGGTCCTCATACAGCGGTTGGCAAGGTATGTACCTGGGACGTACGGCTTGAGGTCGACGATGGGCGTGCCATCGACGAGGTCGATGCCCGACACGACGACCGTGCGCGCGGCCTTGTCGACGCGCTCGACCTTGGCGAGCGTGATGCCAATCGGGTTGGGTCGGTGGGGCGTCCGCGTCGCGAAAACGCCCATGCGCTGCTTGAGCATAGGCGGACTCACCTTGGCCTACGCAGCAGCAGCATCATGCATGAGGACGTGCCGTCGACGCGTGTACGCGAAACGTGTGGGCCGTCCCCGCCTCGGTGCGCAAGCCGGCATGCGCCCGCGCGTTCTTGCTGTTCGTATTGCAATGGAAGATGAACGTGATCCAGACGTGGCTAAAGGCCTCGAGCCCGTCGAGCGCCTCGGGCGAGATGCTCGTGTGACACACGACGTGCGCGCGGGTTGCCGGCGCCAAGTACCCTTGGCGCGGCGTGCCAATGCATTGGTGGAAGACCGAGCGCAGCGTCGCGATTGGCTGGATGTAGTAGCCCGCCGAGACATCGAGCTTGGCTTGCAGCAGCGCCCGGAGCTCCTATATGCCACGGCAGCGTGTGAGCACGTGTCCACCGACGCCAACCACCTTTTCGGCCGAGGTGCGCCCGGCGCGCTCTTCCTGGCGCTGCGCTTCCTTCTTCCGCACCTCGTCGTCGAGCAATCGCACGCGCGCTCGTAGCTGGGTTACGTAGTAGCAGACGCTGGCGCCGCCGACGACCAGCGCGAGCAGCACGCCTGGAGCCATGCCTGATCCGGATAGTGCCGGATACGAGGAGATACTGATTTGGCGGCAACGGCGCGATGTCGCCGTCGTCTCCCAGGCGTGTCCAGCCGTTGCCAGGAGTGGGCGCGCCAACGTGATCAAGGTCGGGTGTCCCTGGAAGCTCACTTCTCATTTTTGCCATGACGACGACGACCCACTACCTGACGCTAAGCCTCCGCAGCGTCGAGATGCTAACTGCGCTCGTCGCGGTGGTCGCGCTCTGCCACGTCTTTCACCCGGCCAAGCCTCCGGTGCGCAAGCTCCTTGTGCTTGCAGGCTCGTACACGGTGGGCACCATGCTCGTGGCGACCAGTGCGGCGCTCTTGCTCTCGGCGGGCTCCGTGGTGCAGCATGCGAGCACGCGCTGGTCGGCATGGCTGCCTCGGTGCGTCCTATCGCTGGTTGTGTAGCTCATGGCGTGTTTCTATTAGCGTCGGCGCCCAAGCCAAGGCGGCGGTTGCCTTTGCCTCGGTCTTCCTCGTGGGCACGATCATGCTCGCGGACAGCTCGCACTACCGCTACTGCCACCGCAGCGCCAACGTGAGCTGCTCGGCGCTCGAGTGGAGCATGACGACTCTGTTTGTGCTCTCGATGCTCTGCGGCGTCGACGCCGTATTGCAGTACGACCAGTTGCACGCGGCGCCGGAAGACATGCCGCTCACGCCATGCGCCAAGCCCAGCGCGACGATGCGCATGGAAGCGGTGACGCCTAACTAGGAAAGAGGACGAGGCGTTTTGTGTGTAAGCTATAAGCTATAAGCTTGAAGCAGAGATGTAGCATTGCGTACCTACACTAGTCGGCCGTTGCAGGCGGTTGCCGCGAGGAAGCCTTGGAGAGCCAACCGATATCACGGCCAACTGCTCCACCGTTCCTGGAGCTGCACTTTGGAAATGCAAATTGATATTCGATGGAAAGGAAGGGGCATGCCAAAAAGGGGTATACACCAACGGGGGTACCAGAACCGACACGTTTTCGTTGGCGCACGCTTGCATTCCAGTCGAGAGAGACATATACCAACTACGTCGCAGTGCCATCGGGACAGCCTCTATCGAGCGCTTGCCTTTACAGCGAAGAAGGGCGCGACTGTGGATGACCACGTCGTCTTCCATTCGAAGGTTAACGGGCGTACCTCTTTTTGGCACGCGTTGCCGACATAGCTTTTCGGCCCACGCCGATTGGTCCGCTTTCGAAACCGTCGCCGGCAGTGGCGTGTTTCTAGTGCGAGATTGGGTATCTCTATGACGTGGCTAAACGAACCGTCGAAGAAATCCTGCCACCACGTGCAGCATGAAGCATTCTGCAATTGCCATGGTTGCGCTACCGTCCTCCTACCACCTCCACAAGGCCATGATCCACCTGGTCCTCCGCGCCCTGCAAGCGGGCGGCGCCTTCGTGGCCATGCTCACGGCCACGGCCGTCACGGGCCTCTCGTACGCCGACTACAGCCTCGTCGTCGCCTACACGGGCTGGATGGCGTCCATGGGCATGGTCGGGCTCCTGCTTCTGCACAAGGTGCCCGTCGTGTACCCGACCAAGACGGCGCTGCTCGCCCATGATGCGGTGCTCGGCGCGCTGCTGTTCATTGCAGGCATCGCCATGGCTGCGTCCAAGATGCTCTCGGACGCCTGCAAGCTCCAGAGCGCGTTCGACCTGACCAACGGCATCAACTGCTCGTCGTATCGCGCATCGACCGCATTCCTTTTTATCGTGGCGGTCCTCCACTTGATCTCGTTTGGCTTGACCATGGTCGACTATTCGAGCCCGAAGGTCCCGATGGAAGATGCACTCGATATGAACGACGCGTTCAGCGCCAACGAGCCGCGCACGCCCCGCGGCGAGTACCCCGGCGAGTACGTCCCGCCGCAGGAACACCTCGCCCAAGTGTAATTCCGTTGCGTCAAAGCTAACATGTATGTCATTTCTTTTCGAAAAGTGGGTGTGGAGTTTACTCGCGACTTAAAAAGTCGCTGTTTAACCTTACACATCGTCATCTCCGCTAGCAGAGCTCGAGACCGACCAAGGCTGCGACTTGGACCACGAGGTGCGGGACCTCCGAGACATCAGGCGAGCGTGAGCACGGGCCAGTAGGCTCGCCCAAGTGTCTTCGCCGGTCCAGCGTCTTGATATTCGTCTGCATCGTGTTACTTCCTCTGCGTGTCCATACTGTCATGCGAGGAAACAATCGACACGGGAATATGATTGACATGGTTAAAAGCGACTGAGTACTGCTCGGTTACTGCGCCGTCGGCGTCTTGATCTCGACGGGCGCGACGTACTCGGTCGTCTCGTGCACCGGGTTCTCGAGGTCTTCGACCGCGTTCGTGGGCGTCAAGTAGAGCGCCGCGTAGCTGAGGTACGTGAGGAAGCCCTGGAGGAGCGCGCCGAGAAAGAGGCCGATCGTGGCGATGTAGAGCGCACCGCAGCTGTTGGCGTGGCAGTAAAAGAACGCACTCGAGCTGGCGGCGAGCACAATCGCCGCGACGAGCGCGAGTGCGCCAAGGACGCCGTCGGTCACGAGCACGGTGAACGCCGAGAGCTCGAGCTTCTTAAAATGGATAGCGAGGAGGTAGTAGAGGGCCGCGTGCGCCGCCAAGGTAAAGGTCGTGACAAAGGCAAAGTCGCCAGCGTGGAGGCCTGTGACGCCCGTGACGCAGAAGAAGGCGATGGCGCTGATGGCACATTGCGCGCCGCGCGTGAGCAGCTGCAGTTGGTTGGCACCGGCAAAGAACGAGTTCATGGTATTTTGATAAGTGCCAAGAGCAATCTGTCAAGCGCCGCTTGGTTGCGACATGCCATCGTCGTGATCTTGGCGATTCCTTGAAGCTCAAGGTCGTGCCACGACGCCGCATACTACTACCTTGCAGGCACGTACTTGGAGGAAGAGTACACTGCGAGAGGCTCGACAGAACGCGAGGCGGTGCTGCGATAGCGAAAGGGCCCGAGCTGCTCCTTTGATGCGCACAACAACGACGTACGCAGTGACGAGGCCATTAGAATTCATTATCCATGGAACATGCTCGAACAGACCCCTCGTCCCACGCGCAGCTGCGTCGTGGCCACGGTTAATTGAATGGAATTTACGGACCTCTTGCCTCTTGGGTGTGACCTACGCCGGAATCTGTCGCCTGTCCACTTGGTCGACCACGCAACTGAATACGCTGCGATGGTTCAATCGGCATTCCAGCAAAGCTGCTGGCCCAGACGTGGTTCTGCAGCTTCAAGAGCTTGAAGAAGTGGTTCTGCAGCGTCAAGAGCTTGAAGTCGCCCCTTCGTTCGTTCGCCACGTCGAAAGTCGATCCACGCAGTAGGCAGTCCTTCCCTTGCGCTCAATCGGCAGTACTTCAACGAACCGAGTGCGTTCTTTTGCAGACAAAGAGCTATTTTTTGCATTGTCAACGAGGAATGTCGATGACGCCGACGGTGCTGCCACCCATTAGGCTTGGTATTTGTATGAACCAGATACCGCTCAGAACTTTGGAGGCCCGTTCTTCCATGTTGCCGTTATGGCACAACGCAAAGCACAACAACGAAGAGGCAGCTTTGCATGCCGATCCATTCTGCTGCATATACATACATACTACACTGTGGTAATGCTGGACCTGGATCAATGCTTCGACGAGCGGTTCGCTGCCGTCGTGTCGCATGACGCCGCAATACTTCGACGATTGCTATTGCCCGCTGCGGAGAAGAAGGATTCGAATGCGAAGGAGGTCTGGGAGGAAAAGCCTTGGGATTGCTGAACAGGCACTGCACTGGTCTTCTTCTCCGTCATCTTCTTTCTTGAAGAAGGACCTCGATCGGACCAAAATGTATCTTCTTTGTATGTATATGCGCACTCCAACTGCATCAACCTAGTTCTTGGAATCTCGTCAAGCGACTCAAGTTACGGCGTCGCGGTCATGACGTAATTCGGGAACGCGTAGTCTTCCACGGTCGTCGTCGCCGTCGCTACGGTGCAGAAACCGAGCTTTTCGTAGAATGAGACGTTGCGGTCAACCTGCGTGAAGAGCTGGACGGTCGCGCCCGCTGGCAGGGCCTCGTGCAATAGCGATTGCACGAAGCGCGTCCCGATCCCTTGACCACGCCGCGTCGGGTCCACTGCGAGCGCCTGCAGCTTGTACGCGTCGGGGCCGGCGTCGTGAAGGTCGCTCATGAGCACTTGCAGCCGGCGAAACGCAGCCCAGCCAATGTAGTAGGGCGCGAAGAAGAAGCCACTTCAGAGCTTTTGCCACAGCGTCGTGGGGGTCGGAGCGCCGGCGCCGGGCGGCGACAGAATGCCATGGGCGATGATGCGGCCGTCGTCATCGAGGTAGACGTACGAGGCGGCGACGTTGGCGGACAGGCGCTTCTCGGTGAGCCACTTCGTGATGACGTAGCGCTGCGCGGCGCTGTCCGGGTCCAGCGCCATCATCGGCGGCTCGTCTTGCATCGAGATCGTGACGAGCTCGAGGAGCTGAGCTGCCTGCGATGCCGTCAATCGGGACGCGGGTACGAGCTCCATCGTGCGTTCGTGCTGCGGAGGATGGAAACCGATGTAGTAGCTATTAATGCCCAAGCGTCTTTGCCGCACCAACGAATTCGCTGCCTCAACACGTGGTTCGTCGCCTCTCTCTCTATGCACTCCGACGCACGTTACCATTAGGAACACAGACTACGCCTATCTCGACGACGACACTTGCATCTCAAGTCCGTGGACCACCGGCCAGGGCAACGGTCGCGCCGATGGTCGTGGGGTCGGCTACCTGGTTGACACAAGCGAACGAATCCGTGCGACGTGCAGGTAGTTGCTGGGTGGTAGAAATATTGAACAACAAATATGCAATAGGGACAGAGGGGTGTGGGACACCTTGTCCAATGTCGCTTCACGATCCATTCAAACCACTTTTCTCGCATTGCTACACTTGACGTGTGCGGTTGATGTCTGCACCGCGGGACCTCCGTTGAAGTCTGCGACGGTAGCTTCTTCGTCGGCGCGGAATCTCCTTGCACGGAGAGCGGAACGTTTCGAGTGCGAGCGTCGAAGCGTGAGAGAGGAGTGCGTACAAATTCGCCTGTCGGACCAAAGCAATTGAACGCAGAGACACGTGCTCGAGGTGGCGACGTGAATGGTCACTGCAGACAGGTCCCGTGCAGGGGAGCTGGCAGGAACTTATTTGTATTGAATGGTAATGCGAAGCGTTGCTTGTTGCAGTCTTCGCGCGCTGCTTCACAATTCAAGTACAGCGGGTGGCAGTGTCGAAGAGAGACATACTACTACTACCAACTAGTAGTGGCAGTATGGACGTGTTGGCTTTTTAGACGCAGGACGAGGCCGCAGTAGAAGCTCGATGGCTACTCGGCGATCCACGTTGTAATGGTGTGGCAACCTCGCTCCTTTGATCAGACGCATTTCGTACCGTTATACGAAGCCCGAGGCTGCCAGCGAATACACTTGACGCTTGTATGCGTCGCGGCTCAAATGTCTACAAAGTATCAAGTTGATGCGAAGCAGCTCGACGATTGCAGCACGTTGCACAGTGCAGACGCGCTTCCTGCTGTCGTCAAGCCCCTCGACGTCTCTCGCCACCTCTCCAACCACCGCCAGTCCATTTTCCGCCTCTCGCCTAGTCCCTCGCTTCCACTGCCCTGGGCGAGCGTCCAGTGAGCGCCTCCAATTCGACCTCAAGTGTACGAGAGAGAGCCCAATCCCAAGTGTCTACGACCACAAAATTGGTGCAGGGATGTAGATGAGTTGTACGCAAGGATGGACCTCAGCCAGTGAACTCGCAGGTTGCCTCGTCGTCACGAAGCGCCACAACCCAACACATCTCGTGATTGTAAATGAATAATTTGGCGGGGTCGTCCCAGGACCCTCGTCCTTGGCATCGACACTGCGGTCCGCCCGCTCAGCAACAAGACGACCGTACACCAGAGAGCTAGCACCGTGTGAGGATTCTACACAAGGGACATCCAGCGACCGCTGTTCGGCGCATTTATCGGCAATACAATCCGGCACGACCACAACGTATACAAACACCAAGTCTACCGACCCAGCTGCTTTTCAAGCCGGTACAGCATCATTTGGGAAATCACACAAACACGGCGATGACGACGTCGGCGCTGCTCAGCACGGGCGCGCGGCTCCTCCAGGCAATCACGTCGCTGGCGACGCTCATCGCTGTCTTCATGGCCTTTGACTCGTTCATGTTCCGCGACAACAGCAAGACGTACCGCTTCATTACGGTGCCCATGATGGCTACCCTCGTCGTGAGCACGGCCGGCTTCCTCTTCGCCGCGTCCTACTGCCTCTTCGTGCTCGCGCTCGACCGGCTGCAGCCCGACGTGCTCGTCGAGCGCATCGTCGACGGCCTTCTCGCGATGGCCTTTGCGCTCTGCGGCATCTTCATGGCCGGCCTCGGCGGCTGCAGCGCCTCGGACCCGTCGCAGTTCCACTGCGCTACGTACAGCGCGACGATGGCACTAAACTTTGTCGCCGCCGTTCTCTTTGCCTTTGCCATGGTCTATAGCCTCCTCACGACCGAGATCCCGCACCCGGACGCCGTCGAGAACCTCGTGCCCCGGGGCAACTATGGCCGCGCGTCGTCGCCCGCCCACATTAGTCCCAAGGCCGACGATACGCTCACGATCATGCCCCGCGGACAGTTTGGCTCGGTGCAGCCCCATGCGCGCGGCCACAACAAGCACGACCAAGACAACACGAACGAACTCGTGCCCCGGGGTAAATTCGGCTCGATCGTGTAATTTTGACGATATTTTGTACTATCCTACATCGAGTGGCGTCTTGCTCGCCGTCGCTTCGTCGAGCAACCCGACTATTAGCAAGGACTAGGATAAGATCGTACTAGTAGTGTGCACTGCACGTTCGACGGGCCGGCTCGTCCAGCGATCTTGACCCGCGCCGTGACCAACCCGCCCCGTCACCGCTCGTGACGGGGTTGGCTTCCCAGCACTGTCTCTTTTTGGCCAAGAAAGCTGAAAACGAGACGGTTATTTCGGGTCATTGAGACCCTTGTGATAAGTAATCGCCAGCTGGCCTGCCTGACGATCGCCATTGGCGTTCTCCGCGTCCAGGTGGCCGTGCCGGTTGCACTGCGCTTGCGCTGGCATTCGTTGCAGCATGCCCCGGCGCACAGCGCTCCTGATCCTCCGTGGGCTCCACGCCATCGGCGGCATCGTCCTCGTCGCCAGCACCATGCTCACCTACGGCACGTTCACGCTCGTCGACGGGGACCGGTATCGGTACGCGCAGACGTACCAGTTTGTGAGCGTCGTCGTTGGCTACACGTCGGTGCAGCTCGGGCTGCTCTACCTCGTTGGCGTCGGCCTCCTCCGCCAGCCAAGCATCGACATTGTGCTCGAGCGCTTCGTCGATGGCATCCTCGCGCTCTGTAGCGTCGTTGTCGGCTACATGGCGCAACGCAAGGTCGCTTCGTGCGACGCCTCCATGGTGTCCTACCAAGTCGCGTGCGCTGGCCTCGACTGGAGCGTCGCTGCGTCCTTTGGCCTCGCGACCCTCTTTGCCCTCTCGCTATGCTACAACTGCTGCGTGCGTCGGCCGTCGCACCCGGACGCCGTCGAGAACCTCGTGCCCCGGGGCAACTATGGCCCGCAGCGCTGCATTCCGGGGAGCATCCCGATGCTAAGCCCTCGCGGCGACGACACGACCGGCCGCGCGCTCGCCAGCATGGACCAGGACAGAACGGAAAATCTCGTGCCCCGGGGCAACTTTTCGCTCGCCGAAGACGACGACATCGACAAGACGGAGAAGCTCGTGCCCCGCGGCGACTTTCATTTGTAGTTTGTTTATCGCGTCGTCGGATGTAGTAGTTTATGAAGCGTACACGAAGATCTCATGTGCCTGCCGTCCCCATCTTGCCGCCTCCGTAGCTCAGTTAGCAGCTAGTCGCCCACCGGTGGTCGCGTCGTGGCGGAGTAATCGTGCGGCGACGGTGACGCGCCCCGTGACTGCTCTCAGCGCCCACACGTCCACCTCTGTCCGACCAATACGTCCGCGCTGCTTCGACTAAGCCTCGAAAAGGAGCGACCAACTACGATCTAAAGCAATGGATTCACATGAATAACGTAGAGTGCTCTTCGCCCGCTTGTTCAGAGTCTTAGGCGACGAGAGCGGCCTCGGCCTGGCAAAAGGCAGCGCGAGCGCCGCGGCGGAGCCCGGGGTACGCACTGCGGAGGAGCTCGAAGAGGACGGTGTCTGCTTTCTCAGCCGCCGCGTGCAGAGCGCGGGGCGTAAATCCCTCGCTGCGGTGCGAGACCAAAAACTCGACCACATCCGCATGCCCGTTGGCCGCCGCGCAGTCGATGGCGTCCGTCGTGCAGCCCTCGTTTCGGTGGTGATGCAGATACCGAACAACGGCCAAGTGCCCGGCTTTGGCGGCGCCGTTCATTGCGCGCGTCGTGCAGCCTTCGCGTCGGCGCTCCTGGAGAAAGCACACGACGTCCAAATAGCCCTTGGACGCGGCCCAATCCATCGCGAAGACCGTGCAACCTTCATTGCGATTGTCGTGCAGAAAAGCCAGAATGGCCAAGTGCCCGTTCAGCGCCGCGTTGTTCATGGCGCGAAAGGTGCAGGCAAACCCGCGCGTGTGGAGGAGCCTTACGACCTCCAAGTGGCCGTTTTTGGCTGCATCGTCGATCGCGTACGTCCGGCACCCCTCGCGGCGATGCGTGCAAAGGTACTCGACGACGGCGAGATGCCCGTTGGCCGCCGCCATCTCCAGTGCGCGGGCTGTTGCCGTCCGCTGTGTCATGTGCAGAAAGGCGACAATGGCCAAGTGTCCCGCAGCGGCGGCACCGTCGAGCGCGGCCACGGACGCGCCTTCGGTTCGGTGCTGATGCAAGTAGCGGACGACCTCTTCATGGCCGTTCGAACTCGCTGCGTCCATGGCAAGGACGGTTGCGCCGCGAGGATAATCCGCCGTGTGAAGCAACACAACGATGCGAAAGTGGCCGACGCTGGCGGCCAAGTCCAGAAGGTTCGTGTCGCCGTCGTGGAGCAGACGCGTCGCCGGGAAGCGAGGGTACAAGGCGGCAAAGATCGATTCGTGCCCGAGCTCAACCGCGTACTCAAGCGCTCGCATGGGCAGCGCGTCGCTCGATACCAATGCCACGAGTCGTTGGAGGCAGTTGATGGCACCGTAACGCGCTGCGCACGTGATGGCGCGAGGCGTCGCTTCGGCCGGCGCGTAGCGCAGCCAGCCGTCCAGCGCCTGTACGTTGTTTGCTCGGATAGCCAGATGCACGTGGTACGCCAGCTCGTTTGCCATACACACAGTGGGGCCGCTGAGCGTCGAGAGGCAGAGGCTGCTCGGTGTGTGCTCGCACGTGCACTGGGACGCCATCGCTTCGTGCGCGCGGCGGCCATGCTGCGCTACGAGCCCGCGCCAGCGGCGCTGAGCCGCCAAGTAGGGGCGAACGTACGGCAAAAAGTCGTAGCAGAGGCCGTCTTGGTACTCCACGAGAAGCGGCAGCAAGCACTCGTGCAGCAGCACGTCGCGGGCGCCCATGGGCCAAGCCAAAGTGCAATTGGATCTTAGTGGTCTTGTTCGACGACCAACACTCTGAGGTCCTTGCATCGACTAAAATCACCCAATTAGCGGGACGCCCAACTTGTCGCCGACGGGGCGTGAACCTCGAAGCACCAGCGACGACCACGCATAGGCTACGCTTCTCGTAGCGTCGGGGCAGGTCGGCGCCAACGGTCAAAGCCGATCGACCGCGCCTGCAGTCTTAAATGTGGCATATGCCACGTGTTCAAAGTCCGATTTGCCTCACTTTGCATTTTTGAATTTCGGACATGCTGTCAGCCGCGCGCCGCTGCATCAATACGCGGGCGATGGCCCGTGGCGCGTCCGCACGCCTCTTTGCGTCGTCGGCCGAGCAGGTCGAAGCTGCGTGGAGCGCGATCCGGCGCGCGCCGACGGCCGCCCCCGTCAACGACTATGTCCGCGTGTGGTACGACTCGATGGCCGCGGGCCGCCCTGCGCTCACGCAGGACGTGTGGATGGCCCTCGAAGATCGCTTCCCGCATGAGCTCTCGCTCGTACTACGCTTCATCGCCCGACGCAGTCGTCTTCTGACGCTATGCTAGGACATGTTTGAAGCCACCGCTGCGGCGCTCCTCGGCCACGACGACGCTGCCGCCGCCAGCCTCTACGAGACACAGGTCCGCCAGCGCGCCGACAAGGTCACCGACACCTTTCGCGACATTGCGATCCGCGCGTACTGCAACCTCGACCAGGTACGCCCTCGCGCCTTTGGTCGCTCGCCGCCTCACGCGCCCATAGGTTGACGACGCCATGGCGATCGTCCGCCAGCAGCAGCACCCGGACATGCACATGCAAGCACGCGTGCTGTATGCCTGCGCGCGCCTCGGCCGTCACGACGACTGCGACGAGCTCTTGCGCGCGCTCGACACGGCGCCGTCGTCGTGGACGGCGAAAGGCTGCGACAACGTCCTGCGTGCGCTGGGCAGCCTGTATCCGATCGACCGAGTATTTGAGGTACTTCGGTCTCGGCAACTTTTGATCGCTGACAGTTGCGTGAATCTAGTTCTTCTCGCGCATGCTGGCGCAAGGGATTCTGCCGACGCCAACGTCCGTGCGCCTGCTCGTGCAAGCGTGTCTCTTCAACCACCATCATGCGCACCTCGAACGGCTCCTGCACAACATCCCCAAGCTCCAGTTGCCGCCCGACGCCCCGTACGTCTCCTCTACCGCTCTCTGACTATCGACCGACTCTTGCTGTCTAGACTTGTCCAGGCGCAGATTGCAGGGCATGTGCAGCTGGGCCATGCGCTCGAGACGACGGTCCTTCCGCTGACGGCGACCTTGGCAACGGCGCATGCCGCCGACGAGAGAACGCTACCAACGCTCTACGATGTCTTCTACACGGCCATGGACCGGGACGACTTGGCCTCGGCGATCACGCTGCTGCATCAGCTCGCGACCTTCCCGTACGTCCCATCCTCGCCAACGGCCCCGCTGACAACGTGGAGGATAGGGCGCCATTCACCATGTTGTACGCAGTGCTCGACCACCTCCCCAAGGACGCAACGGCGCTTTGGGCGATGACAGGACCGCTTCTCGAGACAACGCTCCGGCACCACGGACACCACGTGCCGTCGCACTTGGCTGTGCCCGTCCTTGCCGCGGCCCGCCGCGCCGGCGACGATGCGCTCGTTCTGCGCCTCTTCCACGCGCTCGCCTCTGCGGGCGTGTGCCCCAACAAGACGACGCTGAGCCTCGCCGCACAGAGCTGCAAGGCGCTGCCCGACGCCGACGAGACAACGCGACGCCTCATGGTCGATGCAGTCAACGCCGTCACATCCTCGTCGTCGGCGGTCGAGCGAAAGCAGCATTGCCAGCACCCACCTGGTCTCGATCGCGTCCTTTGGCCGCGCCTCAGGCGACGCGATAGTCGCCGTCCTCAACGCCTCGCGCGCATGGGATCCGATGCTCGTCTCGGCCGCGCTCTCGGCGCTCGGGCAGGTTGAGGACCTTGCGCGCATCGAAGCCGTGTTTGCAATGGCCGTCGAGAAGCAAGCCGTGGACGCCCGCGTCGAGACGCAGTACGTGCGCCTCCTCGTCCGCGTCGGCCGCCATGTGAGCATGAAGGCGCTCGCCGACGTGCTCCCCAAGACCGAGATGCTTCCAATGCCGCTGCTCGAAGAAGCACTCGTGACCATGATGCGCTGCAAGCGGTACAAGGTCGTCATCCGGCTCCTCCCGCAATTGCACACGCGGCCCGAGACGTACGTCGCCGTCTTCCACGAAGCGCTGACGTATGCGCGCTCGACGGTGTGGCTCACGCGGCTCTACGAGATGGCCAAGCACCGCGCTCGCTTGCCGGCGAGCGACGTCGCCGAGTACCAACGGCTGCTCGCGCGGGCAACGGTCGCCCCATAACGCTAGAGATTTTTGGAATTTGTCGTTGGGTCATATTAGTCACACAAAAGATCGAGGTAGATTAGCAGCAGCCGCCCTTCTTCTTGCCGCCACCGTACGGGTCGACGATCTCAGGGAGCGCGTTGTTGTCGCCGGCGGGCGACGGCAGCTGCTGGCTGATCGTCTTGAAGAGGTCCGAGACGTTCGTGTCTTCCTTGGCACTCGTTTCGATAAAGACCGCGCCAATCTCGTCGGCGTACGCCTTGGCCGTCTCCGAGCTCACTTCCTACAGCATGTATAAATGAGCGAGACGGTCGTCGCCAGCGGCGAGAGGTAGTAGCACCCGCTTGTCCTTGAGGTCCGACTTGTTGCCAGCGATCGCAATCACAATGTTGTCCGGGCCCAACTGCTTCAACTCCTTGACCCAGTTCTTGAGCGTCTGGAGCGACTGCTTGCGCGTAATGTCGTAGACGACGATCGCGGCCGCGGCGCCGCGGTAGTACATGGGCGCGAGCGAATGGTACTTTTCCTGCCCGGCGGTATCCCAGATCTGGTACTTGATGGCTTGGTCGCCGACGAGCAGCATCTTGGACATGAAGGACGCGCCGATGGTCGACTCCGAGTACGGGCGGAAGTTGTTGGTCACGAAGCGCAGCACGAGCGACGACTTGCCGACGCCGGTATCGCCGAGGAGGACGACCTTGACCTCGCGCGCCTTGGTCATCTCGGCCATGTTCGCAAAAAGGGATTCTGTCGGCGATTCAGCCCTAGACCGTTCTTACGTGGTCGTACCGTACGTTCGAATGGACCCTTTATTTCAATGTATGTATGGTGGTAATGTACGTGTACGAGGGACAGCAACACGTACCTCCATTTTTGAGCCAATCCGCAGCCGTGTCGGACTTGGTTTTGACCAATGATGGCATCGCATCCGGTGTGAGTTCGCTCCTGGACCTTACGGCCATGGTGTCGCGGATTTTATATGCAGCGACGAGAGACAATATTCTCCACACCATTGTATACGAAATACGATGTTTGTGGTGCAAGTCGAGGAAAATGACAATTTCAACGGGAATTCTAGATCGCAAGAGATCCGATTCTACCGCGAGCAGTTTCTTGGCAAGGCAGGTGTGCCCTGGGATCATGGTACTTCAACTGCTCGCTTGTTTGTGTAAAAACACGAGGGGTTCAGGACTCGCCACAATGCAAGACGCGTCAACCTTGATGACCCACTGGTCACAAGCCGTCATGGCGTCGAAATTCAAAAGATACTTTTTTGCCAAGTGGCCGGAAATGATGACACCCTCTTCGTCCGTCGTCTTCCGTGCCCATCTCCATGGTCCAAGCTTGTACTTGGGTGGTCTTCCTCCTCTGCCCTACAGTCATCTGCAGTGTCGTGGCCTCGTTACGGTAACCGGTTTCCAGCTAAAGCCATCAGCCGTCAATTCGAACACGAACAAAAACGGATGTTCGCGCGGAAGATCGCAGTTGGCGCTGCGAGCCACTGATGCGGCATCTCTTCGACGTCGCTTCACAGTAGTAGTACCCTCGAGCAGGCTCGGAATCATCGGTCCAGGCGTCGCGCGCTGGCCATTCAATGGCGTCCAAGATCGCGCTTGTCGCCAAGGAGCTTGAAGTCGCGTGGACCTCATTTAATTGCACTCGTCTCGCGTCTCTTGCCGATTGTATCGCCCATTGAATCTCGTATTTAAAAAGGCACTTTGCCCTTGGAGACGCGTGCTCTGATTGGTTGGAATCCGCGCCATCTGGTGACGTCGAGCCAATCCGATGGTGCTGGCATTGCACAATTCCATGGCATCTGACGAAGCCAAGCCGCTGAAGGCGACGACCAAGGACGAGTATGCGCTCGACGTCGAGGTGACGACCGAGGTGACGCCTTGCGCGCGCCATGAAGCGTCCAAGATGTTCCACCTCGCGTACCCTGTCGTACGTCCCCACTGTGTGCATTTCACGTTTTCCCAACTCCGATCTTAGTTTTTCGCGTATTTGCTCGAGACGCTGCCTGGTACGATCTGCGTCTCGCTCGTCGGCCACATGGACTCGAGTGACACGAACCTGTACATCAACGCCGCGTACCTCTCGGCCACTGTGACCAACATTACCGCGCTCGCGATCGGGTTTGGCCTCGCGTCGGCCATGGACACGCTCTGCTCGCAGGCGTATGGCGCCGGTACGCCCACTGCCCGACCATGCTGATGGCCTAAGTGCGCTCGGTAGGCAAGCTGGAGAAGCTTGGCATCTACCTTCAGAGCGGTCTCATCGTCCTCGGCCTCTCCCTGCTGCCGATCTGGCTCATGAACCTCCACGCGGACTCGATCCTGATTGGCTTCGGCCAGAACCCGGACGTGGCCGTCCTCGCAGGCGACTTTTCACGCATCACGATGCTCGGCGTGCCCTTCCTCTTCGTCTACGAGCTCCTCAAGAAGCTCATGCAAGCCCAGAATATTGTGCTCCCGATGACGTTCATCGCGTTCCTTGGTGTCGCCGTCAACATCGCCACGGGCTACTACATGACGTACTACACGTCGTATGGGTACCTCGGCGCGGCCATGGGGCGCGTCGTCGGCAACATCGCGCTGCCTCTGAGCATCCTTCCGTACTTGTACTGGAACCAGGACAACACGTCGCTGTGGTGGCCCGGGTTCCAGTGGAAGGAGGCTCTCGACCACGTTTCGCTCTTCCTCTCGCTCGGCTTCCCGTCCATGGTCATGCTCGCAGTCTCGTGGTGGGCATTCTGCTGCCTCGCGTTCCTCGCAGGTCTCCTTCCCAACAGCATCGAAGCCGTGAGCATCAACTCGGTGCTCGGCAACCTCCTCACGGCCAGCTTCATGATCTTCCTCGGCATCGCGATTGCCGCCAACGTTGGCATTGGCAACTCGCTCGGCGCCAACCAGCCGCGCCGCGCCCAGCTCATCGCGCGGCTCGCCTTGTACGGCGGGTTTGGCTCGGCCGTGCTCATGGGGTCGCTCTACATGCTCTTCCGACACCAACTGCCCCTCCTCTTTATCAGTGACGAGCTCACGGTCCAAAGCGTCGCCGCGTCCATCTTCTTCATGGTGCCGCTGCAGGTCTTTGACGGCCTCAACGGCATCTGCGAAGGGATCTTCCGCGGCCAAGGCCGGCAAAAGATCGCGGCCGGTACGTCTTATACATTCAATATTGATGTCTCACCTTGGCGACGTTAATAGTGATCAACATTTGCTCGTACTACGGCATTGGCCTCCCGCTGGCCTACGTTGCTGGCTTTCTCTGGGACTACAACCTCGGCGGCGTCTGGCTCGGCTTCACCGTCGGCTGCGGCACGTGCTTCTTCATCTTTTACGCCATGATCCAGCGCACCGATTGGGCCCAACTGGCCGCGATTGCCCGCGCCCGCGTCGCGCTCTAAGTCGCTGAATCATCGTTTTTTGCTTTCGAGTTGCGTACGTGTGGACAGATTATTCATTCTTAAATAGCTCGTTTTTGTCTTGTGTGGCCTGCTACCGGTGCGATGTGGTCGTCACGACCTTGCGGTGGCCGTGGGCTTCGAACGGAAGCGTAAAAAGGTGCGCGAACGATGCTTTGGCCACCGCGGATGCCGCTGGGCCGACGTGACCTTTCCTTCGCCCAGCGATCGAAGGCCGGCTCTCGTACTTAGGCTTGTGCGGCTGCACCGTGGCACTGGCGGGTGGCGGCTCGTCGGGCGCCGTCGCGCCGTTCTCGACATCCTCGTCGTCGTCGTCGTCGAGGATTTCGATGGTAATACCAGAGAGGGATGAGAGCAGCTACATGTCCATCTATCGACAAGGCCGCTTGAAGCGAGAGCGACACACCTGCTGGATCGCCGCCGCAGGCGCCTTCTCCGTGACTTCATCTTTGGCGCTTTTGGTGATGTCGTGCAGCTGCCGCTTGGTGACCGTGCGGCTCGATGCGCTAATCCAACGATGACGCCCACGACGTCGAGATTGCATTTACCTTGTGCTCGCCAACGAGTAGATACTCGTGTGCCGACTGCTGCCACTGCGGAACGAGATGCAGTCGTCGTCAACGCCATTCTCTTCGTCGCTACATCCATCGAAGATGGGCTTGATACCTTGATATCTCGCTACGTACTGGAACCCTTGGAGCGTTGCATCAATGGTTGCAAGTCGGTCCTTCGCGTAGCGCTCGTCGCCGCCCGCCCACGCCGGTGGGATCACGACGGCGCCGCGCAATACCACGTTCGGGTCCGCCTTGCGCGTCGCCAGCATCGTCTACCATATACGATGTCGTCCTGCTTCGTGGAGGCACATAAGTCTACCTCGAGCGTCGCGTCGAGTGCGGCCAAGCGCGCTTCGTCTGGTGCTGCAAACGCCAGGCGCGGCGGCTCGGGCTCCTACGCGTCTCCGTTCACGCATCGCTCTAGCATACGACGTACATTAGTGGGTGCGTCGTCGATCAGAAGCGCCGCCACGCGCGCCTCTTCGGTCCGCGTGAGGTGCTTGCCCGCGAGCTTCATTTCCTTGTTTCTCGCCACAAAGTCGGTGGCGTCGTAGCTCTTGGCGGCTTCGACCTGGTCTTTGATCCGCTGGGCGCTCGTGGTGCGTTTTCTATCGACAACAAGATGAGGCTCTCGTGTCGGCGACGCGCTGTACGCAATGGTTGGCTGCGACAGGAACGGTTTGGCACTGCACGAGCCTTTGAGTGTCTACCGCCATATATGTTCAATGCCTTCCGCATGCAACCATCCAAAGTACCTCATTCAGGCCCTCGAGGATCAGGTCGTTTTTCCGAATGAGTGCAATCCCCTTGGCAATCTTCATGTTGAGCTCGGACGGCGCGTCCTCGCCTGGAATGCTTCCCTATACACAGCATCGTCGATGTTTTAAAGTGCTGGAGGACGCGAGAGTCGAACGAAAGCGTGCGTGCGCGCGAGGCCATCGTGCAGCAGCGCTCTCGTCCACGGCGTCGCCGACGTATCGTGCACCTACGTCAAGGCATCAATCCAACGTAGAGGATAAGAACTCATGGCGTCGCACGTCTTTGCTCGTCATAAGGGCCACGACGTCGTTGTAGTTGTCTGGGAACGCCACGATCGCCTCGCCTACGCGCCTGCCTTGTATCGTGACCCATGCGAGTGCGCGCACCCGCGTCGTCGGCTTTGGCGTGCAGCGAGTCGACGTACTGTCGCAAGTCGGCCTCGAGCGCTGCCCGTGCCGCCTCGGCACTCGCCTGCGCGGTGCATAAAGATGGGAGTGTCGGTGGCGAGGCTACCATTTGCTGGCGCCACTGCGCGTAGTAGCCGCCGCCATCGACCTCGGTCTCTTGCATCTCGTCGTTCTCGATATCTGCATGGCACTCGATTTGGTTCGGAGCGCTTGCCTCCGACCCGTTCTCGTCGTCGTCTTCAGGCATGGCGTCAGCCATCGCACGGGGCTCGGCACGCGCGCTGTCGAGCTCGGAGCGACGCGGTTGCTGGCTCGCCGCCAGCATTTCGATGCTGGGCAGAGCCATTGAAGTCCTTGTATTTTCCATGTCGTCGCTGCTCTCGGACGCGTCCTAGGCTCGGCGACATGGCCCATGGTGGCAGGAAGAAACCCACGTACGGTCGGTTTGGGCGGCGAGTCGGGTAGGTTGGTCATAAAGAACACTTGCGGCCCGTCGTTTGGCGGCGTCTCGGGCGGCGGTGTCGTTGCTTTCTGGGGCAGCGACAAGATCTTATGGATGCGGAGCTTCTACAACGTCGCTTGAGCGCGGCCTCGGACGGCGCAGTAGCTACCGGCGTCGTCGCCGGGCGCCCACGGGACGACAGCTTCGGACTCGCCCTACACCAAGCTAGCTTGCGCAGACGACGGTCGCAGGACGTACGCTGGCGACAGTCCGTGCTCCGAGCGCGGCCGCGGCTCCATGCCAATCTATTTTTAGCCGGCGGGTGGCACGGCCAATCATCGATGAGATGCGCGATCTTCGGGCGTCGCGCCATCGTCCAAGCGCCAAGGTCGAACCTGAATCTCAAGGCGTGATGAATACGGGTATTGATATTCAGGACTCTAATCGCCCTTGACCAGCGCGGTCGAACCATCACATTTTGAGTTTGGCGATGTTGCCCAAACGTGGGTTTCGCACGAACCACAATTAGCCTGCGGTGGATGCAACTCGTCGACTCAGCGGGCGTTGCTTCAACATACGAGAGCTCGTGCAATCCTTCGATCGATGGTATTGGTTTCTAGAGGTACGACAAGGGGCCAACCTCCAGCAAAGGGCGGCTAGACCTTCGACGTATGTGGTTTGAGAGGTCTCCGCTAATGGATCTTGAGGAGGCGCGACCCGGCCAACCGACGCTCGGACCTCGTCGGCAACGGTCACTTGCGAAAACTCAGCAAAGCTCGCATGAAGTGGCTCCTCATCTGCGCGCTGGCGGCGCTGCTCCCGGCGATCGAGGCCTACTGCCCCAACGGCTGCAACGCCCAAGGCACGTGCGGTGCCAACGACAAGTGCACGTGCTACCTCCGTAACGACGAGCTGAACGACCAAACGCAGCCCATGTTTACGGGCGCCGACTGCTCGCGCCGGACGTGCTCGCGCGGGAAAGCCTTTGTCGACATCCCGACCGCCAACGAAGCCGCGCACCAGCTCGTCGAGTGCTCGAACCGCGGCCTCTGCGACTACGCGTCAGGCGTCTGCCAGTGCTTTCCCGGCTTTGAAGGCAAGGCGTGCGAGCGCATGAGCTGCCCGAACGACTGCAACCATCACGGCGTCTGTCTCTCGATCAAGAGTATCGTCGCGGCGGGGGGCGGGACGTACACGACCGCGTGGGACGCCGAGAAGTCGTATGGCTGCTTGTGCGACCAAGGCTACCGCGGCCCCGACTGCTCGCTCAAGGAATGCCCGAGCGCGGCCGATGTCCTCCTCGGGTACGGCGCCACCGAAGGCCGCGACTGCGGTGGCCGCGGGACGTGCGACTACGTCACGGGCGACTGCCAGTGCTTTCCAGGCTACTATGGCACCACGTGCGGCTTCCAGAGCACGGTGCACTAACCGAGGATGCTTCTTGTACACACCGCCCGCCTCGTCTAGTGTCCTCTCGATATATACACTTCATCAATAAATCCACGGACCCTCCATGCCAATTTGCTTGCGTCTTCACCATCGTCGCATCGGATAGTGCAGGCACGGACCCAACGGCGACGAGCAGGCGAGAGAGACGATGAAGCGTCGAGTGTGCAGGGCGTGTGTAAGTTTTTTATTCAATAATGAGTTCGTCAATGGACCAGTCCTCGTACGAGCCATCCGGGAGGTACCGGCGGATGATGATCGGGATCTTGCGCTGGCTGAGCTCCTTCATGGCAATCTTGAGCGGGTCCGTCTCGCCTTCAATGTCGACCATGACGGGCGCGTTCATGCTGATCTGCAGCGCGCGCGTGCCAAGGACGCGGGCGCGCTCGTACTTGGGTCATGTAGCGCGTCGTGATGCGGTGGGCGTTGGGCTGCTTCTCCGACTCGTCGAGGAGCGCGACGCCGTTCTCATGCTCGGCGCCGTCTTCCATCTCGTCGAAGTTCTCCATCTCTTCCTGCTCCTCGTTCACGTCCTCCATGTCGTCCATGGCGGCGTCGTGGTCGTACTCGTCGTCCATCGGGCTCGTAGGTTCTAAGCAAAAAACCGACTGCTCTCTTCACCAACCAGTGGCGATTGGTCAACCTCCAAACCTCTTTCTTCTGATATATCGCGCATTTGATACTGGAAGAAACATGTTCTATGAGAGGTTTACCTGTATCCTTTTATAGTATGGATGTGGTTGGCCGAATAGCTTGTATTTTGTATGGGAGGGTCGTCTTCTGGCTTTGAAAACGGTGGAAGATCGCGTTCCCGCGCTTTTTTTTGCCAGGGACGCTGGAGATGGCGCCAACGAGCATGTCGAGCTTTAGTACAAGTTTGGACATGGCAGAGGCCCGTGCATGCTATTAGGGCCGCATGCTTTCTTTTTCCGTTTGAATTTGGGCGAGAAGATGCGCGTTTCATGGAGCGACCTCGCAGATTGTTTTGAGGAAATGATCACAGACACGAAGAGTTCCGGTTCGAATTTTGATGCGGGAGCCGCTCTAGCCGAGCGGTTCGAGTGTTCAATAAGTGGTGGTGGATGGAGAGCTGCGGTGCCGCCTTCTACACTAGGAGTGTGAGCAGAAACTTCGCCCCTCGAAAGGATACCTTTCAACCAAATGCTTTAAAAGCATGAGCCCACCATCAAGGGTCAAGACAGGAGCAACCACGTTGTCTCTGTGTGCAGTGCTTCACAACGCCCGAGGAGGGGAGGAGGGGTGCTTTGGTGTTCAGTAGTATCAACGTCGACTGACGTCAGCGCGCACGAACCAAGGGGCAATTGTTCGATACGAGTAAGCTACCTCTTCTATCGTGCGCCGCCAAATGTCGTGTCGAAGTTAGCGCCCATGGTACGGGACGTTATTTCTTGATTCGAATATCAGTAATCACGACCCACCATGTGCCATGAAGCATCGGCCTTCTCTCCCTTCTGCGATCTGTCCAATGCTTCGAAACAAAGTTCAATTTACTGCGAACAGTCATCATGGTCGCATCCAGCAAGCCAGGCATCGTGCTCTTCCACCCGGACGACATCGAGTACAACCCCCGGTACCGTCCCCGGGCCGCGTCGCTCGCCATCGGCAAGATCCACTCCGTCGAGACGCACACGACGCGAGCGAGCTTGCACGAGAAGCCTCGTCGTCGGCGCGGCAGCAGCAATTTCACCGATGACGTCGACTTTGTCGACGACTGCCCGGTGCTGCAAGAGCCATCCAAGCTCCACGACAAGTGGAAGCTGCAGTTCACGCGCCTCTGGTTCAAGCTGCTGCGTCCCCAGTCCTAATACTACGATGCTCTCGCCTCGCTTCTTCATGCTGCATTTCCGAGTACACGGCGCTATAAATTAACTTAAATACGAATCAACGTCGCTTCCTTTTTCCAATGAAAGGCTGGCGACCAGTAGCTACCACAGCGTGCGGTGGCGCGAGAACATGCGCTGGAAGAAGGTGGGGAAGAGGCTGCGGCGGCGGAGCCGGGTGTTGCGCCGCGAAGAGAAGAGCTCGTCCTCGAGGATCGGGCAGTCATCGACTTGAAGCATGTCGAAGTCGTCCTGGCAAATGGACGGAACGCGGTAGCTGCTCTCGTCGTCCATGACGTCGGTCGCGCAGTGGCTCACACGGTGCGGCACCGGGGCGGCCACGGCCGCGCCGCGGGACGACATGGTGAGGTCGTAGAGGTGCTCGAGGTCGACGCCGGCGTACGTGTCCTTGGTTGTGATGTCGTCCGGGTGGAAGAGGATGATCTTCTTGCGCGACGCGACCTTCTTCATGCGGCCCGACTTGGTACTCGTACGCATGTCGGCGCGAATTACGCAATGCACCAGAGCCAGCGAAAAGTGCGTGTCCCGTTGACGATCGACGAGCTGCAATCTGGTTTTTCGTTCCCTTGTCCAGGTGTGTTCACGTTGCTGGGACAAGCGGGTGAAAAATACGCGCCTTTCACACCTGATGGACAATGCCTGATGGAGTTCGCCGTGTATTATTACAACTGCACTGTAAACAAGCAGGACTTGAAGCCATGGCTTGAAGCATGTTGCCCTGCGACTGCGCGCGGTCGTCGAACGCACTCAACGACTTCGTTTTATGACGCCAGAGTCCAAACAAGGAATCCACGTACTATCATATCATTTCCAATCGTACTTGCTAGCACGACCACGGTAGCTCCTAGTTTAAAGGTTCATGGAACCGGTCAACTGCCTCGGAGCTCGATGCATCAATCTGGTCCATTCTTCGATCTCGCTACTACCTGTACGAGTTCGGAAGTAGATAGCTGCATGCTGGCCTTTTCGCGCAAATCTATTCTCTCACTGTCCATGGAAAGACAAACGCTGGGCGATGTTTCGCGAAGCAAGGGACAGATCAGACAAGTTGTCGGCGCTCGCCGAATAAACCACGCGTGTGTTTTGTGAAAAACCCACGGGGCGATACCAGATTGATGGCGAGGCCGACATGACACGTGGAAGATATTTGGGTGCGAGTCTGTCACAACGTGCACAGGTTGCGATACCATAAGTGCAATGTCATTAGCCGTGTCCAGTCGCAGCCTCGGATGACTCGACAGGAAGGACCAGGTGCGCGGGATGAGATGCCGTGCACATGCATGACGAAACACCAACGTGGTTTGAACCCTCTTCATGGTGCGCTCGATGATTCGTGGCGATGAGTAGGTGCACACGACCGTGGAAATCGTGGTGGGATGACCCGTCGTCAGCTCTGAACGTTTCTGGAGAAATTCGCACGGTCTTCAGCGCAACCCAGATGAGTCCGCACCCGTCGTCCCAGGACGTGCAACACACAACGCTCTATACTCGCAGTCCTCTTGAATACCGGCTTCCACTCGGTACCGGCCTTTTTCTGCCGCCTGCTCATGCACTGAGGGCCTGGAGCTGGCGCCTTGCGTTGCGAGGAGCCTCGCCCCTCGGAGCATGTCGTCAGTGTTGTAGCTAGATAGCACGTGCATCGGCTATGACTTTCGGTCGAAGAGGCAATGCAACATACTACATTACATGTACACTGACGGTAGTCGTTTTGATAGGAATCAACCAAGCGTGGTTGTGTTGCAATCCAGTCGGCGAAAAACGAGTGACGCAACTCCCTTGCACACGTAGCGCGCAGCGTAGCGCGACTGCGTTAACGCTTGAGCGAGAGCTGTGTACTTCGTGCTCGTTACTGGGGAGTACGAGGTATCATCCGAGTTCGCAACCTTGCTGCAGGCATACAGGCGAGGAATGTACTGGCGTCACTCTGACGATCAGGGTGGCGCCATTCTGGACGAAGGTGCATATACATCCGGAACTACAAAATGCTCCCGCTGCCTCAGCACGATCGTTCGCGAGCCGAACGAGCTCTCTGGAAGCGGGTGCTCGAAGGCAGTGGGAGCTCAAACGAGAGGGAGAACCACCTAGTCGTGCTGGCAGGTAGCGCACTCGTGGCTTTCTTCTGGACGACTCGCCACCCAACTCGTCGTGCTGGCCGGGAAGTTGCACGGTATTACTCGACGTAGGATTACAGAGCGGTGCAACGGTAGACGGCTCTGCGTATTCGTGGTCGGTCACTGATGTGGAGGAGGACACATGCCTTGGTGCATATCGGCAACGGAATGTCGCTCGGCCGTTGGACTCTGGATTCTGCGCGGCCGTGGCGGCTTCCCACGTGGTCGCAGAGCAAGCACACGGTCAAACGCGTCCTGTATATACAATGAGGACCAACTGCAACGTCAAAGTGCCAAAATCTCCAAGCGTCGCCGTTCGTGCTCGCTTCAACGGCGCTTGGTGCGAGTGGCGCGGCTCTGAACCGATCCCAAGGGTTCCAACTTGGTTTCTATGCGTTGAAAGCAAATATTCATTCCTACAGGTTTCTTGTGGATACATTCTATATTTTTGTGGAGTACGAAGAATAGGCTTTCGAAGCATATCATATCGTAGAGGTACTGGTAGGAATCGAACCCCACGTTCCAGACAACCCACGACCGACCGGCTGACCAGAATAATGGCATCGCCGCCGACTGGCCACAGTGATTGCCGCTTGAAGTAACCTGGTATTTACGAATTGCAACCATGCAAGAGACCACGTCGGCCCGCGAGAGCGCCGGCGTCGTGCTCTTTGACGCCTCGGACACGCGCTGGTCGGGCGTCTGCACAACGCGGACGTCCATCATGCTCGACCTCTCGTACCTCTACGACCCGATCTCGCAACCGCACGACGCCAAGGGTAGCGGCGACGCGACAACCAATTCGGCATCGGACACCACGTGCAGCAGCAGCAGCACGACCGAAGCACTCGCGAGTCGTCGTCGTCGCCGGCGAACCGCGTCGGTCGTCGAGACGGGCCGCCACAACGACGCCAAGTGGTTCACGCCCGTCTCCAAGTTTATTCGGTCGCTCTTCCGGCCCCGCGACCGAGACTCTCTGCTCCTCCAACGGACCTCCAAGTATTACAAGTAGGGCGCTTTCGAGCGAAGAGTATTTATATGCGCCCGCCGTCGAGCCATACTGTGCCGTAGTACAAATCTGTAGCGATTTATGTTCGTCGTTGCTGCGTCTGGGCAAGCACTCTGCGGTGGTTCGAGCAGCGGCAAGTGCAACATCGCTGGCCGCACGCAATTATGTATTTATATAGGCGAGAGCTGCGCAACCTTGGATCAAGTCATGCGTGGGGATCGTTCTAGTGCGAGTGCGAGGAACACGACCTGCCTCCAGGAGTGCTCTTGCCTGCCTCCCACCGACAGTACCATGCGAGGACGGGTGACGCGCCCGACGAGAAGCGCGCGTCATTTGCATGCACGAGAACGACGCTCCGTCTCCGTTTCTCACCAGCCAGCTGCACGCACGGCGAGAATCTGGACGGGAATTTTCGCTCGCAGCGGCAGAGAGCGCTGCCTCCGGCCGTCGTTGTGCATCTCTCTCGAAAGCTCCTCCTGTGGTTCACAGAAGCCCTCGGAGCTAGTGGAAGGTGCGAGGATGGCAATGCGCTCCATCAGTGAGCCCTCTCAACTCGGGCACATTCTCGATCTGCGCTCGGTTGGTAGGATCGGTGTCGCAAAAAAGACACATCAAACTTCAGCTCAAACTTCCCACCAGAATCTTTGGCCAGGCGATCCGGTTACCAGTCGACTCAACGCATTTCGTCCAATCACAACGCATGTATTCAAAATGCCTGCATTCGATAGGCTATAAATATCCGGCAGCCCACCAATTATTCCCCTCCGCAAGCCATATTCGAATATTTCCGCAACCGCAGACATGGCCCGGGCTGTACGACGATGACGCTATCCACGGATGTCCCTGAACGCTGTATCTGCATGTAGGACAAGCGAAAGCGCGACGAGCATGACGATGGCGAGGACCACCATGCGCAGGAGAAGCACTCGACGCAGGGCTCTGGCGACGACTCCGACACGTCGGACGAAGAGAAGCCGTTGAAGCCCGTGCCCGAGGCGTCGACGCGCCGCGAGCTCAAAGAAGGTAGCCGAGCCTAGGAATTCGCTGTCGCCCACGACGCTATTATAGGCGAACCTGGCTCTCTCACGGGCCGGCCACTGCGCTTGTTTGCGGATGGCATTTTCGATCTCTTTCACTTTGGCCACGCCCGCGCGCTGCAGCAATGCAAGCAGGCGTACCCGAACGTGTACCTTCTCGTGGGCTGCTGCAACGACGAGATGACGCACCGCCTCAAGGGCCGCACGGTCATGTCGGAAGAAGAGCGCTACGAGTCGCTGCGCCACTGCAAGTGGGTCGACGAGGTCATTGAAGGCTCGCCGTGGGTGCTCACGGACGAGTTTCTCGACAAGCATCAAATCGACTACGTGTGCCACGACGCGATCCCGTACACGGACTCGAGCGGCCAAAGCGGCGACGGCGGTACGCTGGATCTATTGTTCCAACACAGTAGGGCTCATGGCACTTTCTTAGGCGACGTGTACGCCCACATCAAGGCCATTGGCAAGTTCCACGAGACGCAGCGCACGGACGGCATCTCGACGAGCGACCTGATCATTCGCATCATTAGCGAATACGACACGTTCATCCGGCGCAACCTCCAGCGCGGCTACTCTGGCAAGGAGATGAACGTGCCCTTTATGAAGGAGAAGGCCATCAAGCTCGACATGGCCATGGACAAGGTCAAGCACGACATTGAAGACTACTTCCACAAGGTCTTTGGCAAGGCCGACGACGTCCAGCACTCGTTCTTGAACCTCTTCTCCAAGGAAGGCGCGCTCGTACGTTGCATATTGCATATTGCACTGGAGGCGCGCGAACTTACGACGCGAACTTGTAGCGCACGTCGCTCCGGAAACGGCGGAAGATTCTGCGCGAGAGCCTCGCCGACATGGCGCGCGAAGGCCTCTGCTAAGGGGCATCGCTGCCGCCGATTGGACGAAATTAATATAAATACCACGCCGGCCGTGCACATGATTCGTTGACAGGCAGCCAATCATCGACCGACACGATACGCGCGCTGATTGGCCGATCGTAGCCTATGACAGCGCTTGCCGCGCGAGCCAGATGGGTCGTAGGATGCGCAGGTGTGTCTTTTATTCCACCGACTGCGTTCTTTTACTGCAACACTTTTTCTTTTAATCATCGGGGTCCCTTCGCAAAGCAAGCGAGATGGCCGGAAGCGTCAATGACGAGCTGTCTACGTCGATACTGCATTTGTCGAGCCTCGTAGCGTTAGCAGGAATCCGCCATTCCGAGAGCCCGTTATCTTTTAGGACACTATTGTACAATAAGATCTGGGATGGCTCAGGCAGTGAAGACGTAGCCGTGCTGCTGGAAGCCGTGCAGCGCAATGTGGACCTCGACGGTCGCAAAGCCTTGGGACGCGACCCGCGTCAGCTCGCGGCCGTCGCTTTGGGCGATAAACTTGGCGTCGAAAAACTACATGGCAGGTCATGCTGCTGGGCCGCGCCATCGTCGAGAATGATCTAAAATACCTCGGGAGGGGACGCGGTGAGCCACGCGATGAAGCCTTGCAGCGTGCTCGACGACTGCGGCTTGAAGAGCGGGATGCGCTTTGTGTGTGTGCCCGCGACCGTTGGCAAGAGCACCGAGCCATAGCCGCGGATGACGTCGCGTCCGAGCATGTCCATCCCGTAGACCTACGCGCAGATACGATTCGAGTGGTGCGTCGTCGTTCGTACGCTGAGCACGAGCCGCGGCCAGCCGAACGGGTTGGTCGTCTTGAAGGTCATGTCGAGTGGAAAATGAAAGGCAATCTCGCGCCGTGCCGCGGCCCGGTACCCGATCTGCGAGAGTCCACTTTCAACGCCCTACGCAGCAGCATGCCATATCGCGATAACGTTGAAGCTACTAATACGTGTTCCAAGTGCCAATCGGGGCCGTAGGCAAGCCCGTACTTGCAGTAGAGGTTCTCGACCCCGTCGTACTAATGCAGCGGTAGACAGGACGACTTGAGAGCGACGACGGCGGCATGGTGCTGTACCGTAATGGACTGAATCTGGCCCGTGCACATGACGTGAAAGCTCGACGCGACCGGCGGCGCGGCCATCGCGATCGAGATCTTGAAGGGGTGTGCGCATCGTCCGGATAACGCCGTCGCGAGCGCCGCCTGTTTTTTGCTCGTGGAAGTGAGCGGCTAGACAGGCCGTGATGTTGCATCTCGACAGCGTCAATGGCCGAGCGATGCTGGACCGCGTGCGTTCTCTACCCCGTGGAATGGCACGCAAGCCACTCGAGACGCATCCGGATACCGCGAGTCTAGGGTGCATCCACATGGATCCCATGCTATTACAATGGGCACTGACTAAGGGGTCCATCCGGCGCCGACTACTGGAGGTGCGAGGGCGGCGCGTGGCGGGCTGAAAGCGTCGGCTGCCGACTATTAAAACTGCGGCTCGACGCGTGACAGGCCGACGTGCGGGTTTTTGGACAAACCAACAAATCTTGGGACAAATGGGACAAATGGGACAAACGCCTGGTCTTAGTCGATTTTCTAGTCGGCAGATAAAAGAAGCGGCGATAACCAGTGATCATCATGGCCAAGCGCCGCAACGAGAACGGCCAGATGCGCCGCGAGGAGTACGAGGCCGCCGAGGACCGCGACCCTCGCGAAGACGACACGGTCGTTGGCTTCGGCATGACGCGCGCCTCCGACACCGAGATCTCCAAGCGCCGCATTGTCATGCCCAAGGGCAAGCGTGCTGCGCCTGCGCAGGCCGCGCCCGCCGCCGTACGCTGGCTGTCACTATGGAGCCCATCTAAGGCCAATGCGTAGGCGCCAGCGTCGAGCAACCCGTTCAGCGGCTTCACCGGCCTGACGCAGGCGGCCCCCGCACCGTCGGCGAACCCCTTCAGTGGCTTTACAGGGCTCACCAACCCGACGCCCGCCGCCAAGCCCGTGGCCGCAAAGGCACCTGCGGCGCCTCTGTCGAACGACTGGGTCAAGACAACGACGTCGGGTCTCTCGCGCGACGCGGCGCTCGGCGCCGTCATGGAGGTGCTCAACAAGGAGTTCTTTGCCTTCGTGAGCCAGCAGGTGGTCGAGAACCCGATGACGTTCTGGAATGGCGCCGTCCAAGTAACCCCTCGTGCTGCGATCACACGCAGGCTCATGTACACGCGTACCTGTAGGACTACATCCGCCATGCCCACGAGCTCGAGGCCAAGGTGGCCGCGCTGCACGCGCCGGCCAAGAAGATTGCGGCGCCGTCGACTAGCGTGTCGTTTGGTGCGACGGAAAAGACATTGTCCTCTGGCTTTTCCGTTGGCGTCACGCCGACAACGTCGAATGACAAGCCCTCGACGGGCCTCTCGTTCGGTGCGGCCCCGACCTCGACGACGACGACGACGGGCTTCTTGTTCGGTGCGGCTGCTCCGTCTGCTACCACGTCGAGCCCGGCCAAGCCGGCAACGACGACTGGCTTCTCGTTCAGCGCGGCCGCTCCGTCTGCTACCACGTCGAGCCCGGCCAAGCCGGCAACGACGACGGGCTTCTCGTTCAGCGCGGCTGCTCCGTCTGCTACCACGTCGAGCCCGGCCAAGCCGGCAACGACGACGGGCTTCTTGTTCGGTGCGGCGGCTACGCCCGCAAGCCCAGCCAAGCCTGCGACGTCGTCTGGCTTTACCTTTGGCTCGACCACCACAACGTCGAGTCCGGCACCTGCCGCGACGACAAGCCCGGCAAAGCCGACGTCAAGCTTTACCTTTGGTGCGACGCCGGCTGCCTCGGCCAGCACATCTGCGTTTGCGACGGCGCCGGCTTCGTTTTCTTTTAGTGGTGCACCTGCACCTGCGCCGTCGAGCTTTGCGTTCAACTTGCCCAAGGCGGCACCGGCACCGGCGGCCACGGAGGACGAGGACGACGAGAACATTGGTCGGGAAGAGGCGACGGTCATCATCAAGGTACTTGATCTTTTGGGAAGGGACCCTCATGGCTCGCTAGTCGTCCTCGGAAGCCGACGAAACAGTCTTGTATGAAGTGGACGCGATTCGCATCCGTCACTTTAAGACGGACGCTAAGACGGGCGAGAAGCGCTGGGCCGACATTGGCCGTCACCCGTTCAAGATTCTCCAGAACAAGACGACCAAGGCCTCACGGTACGACGACGCCTTTCTTATTATCGTGCTTAGTCGGTGCATCTAGCATCTTGTCGCGCAACTCGATTGGCAAGATCGTGATCAACGCGGCGCTGTACAAGGGCCTCGAGGTCACCGTGACGTCCAACAAGAAGAGCGTGATGCTGACCTTGCTCCACGATGGCGAGCCCACGAGCATGCTTTTGGGTATTGCGGCGGATCGTGTTGAGGAGCTCAAGGCCAAGATCGAAGGCGCGTGCCCGCAGTAATAATCCCGCAATGCACGTATGATTTGATTTTTAAGATTGAGATTGAGCTATAGATACCCTTCAGCCATTGGTCATAAATGACAACCGAAAGTGGCCAATGGACCGGTGGAATGTGCATTTTACACAATTGGATTGGTCCACAATACGATGGACACACCGGATTGGCTGAAATACGACGGGTGGCGCGGGGGGCCTCTAGCACTCCAGTTGGGATCATTCTCAAAGTAGCGTCGTTAGAGACAGATCGTAGGACGCGCACGGCAAGCTGCATGGCAGATGTGAGGGCTGGCACACTGAAAAGTATGTCAGCGCTCGTTTTGTCCATGTTGAAAATTCCGTGCTACAGCAACTTCACTTGTAGTGTGTAGAAGGGAGGACGCCTTTGCCCACGTCCTTTCTTCAAGAATCAAGTGGGAAATACACCAATCGAGCAGTTCAAACAGAAATGTACATATTGGTTAGAAGCACTCTAGCCTTCACAAATAAGCAAGTATTGCATGAAGAAATTTTTGTTTCCAGCCCTTCTTTTGTACGCCTCCACAACGAAGACCCCCAATGCATCGAGTCAAGCAAAGCAATGAGCAGAGATGAGCGGTTCATTTCCGCATACTTGCAGCCCACTACGCACTTGCGATGGCCTCGGTTGAAGAGCAAGAGCTGCAGACGAAGCTTCTTCGGTGACTGCCGAGGTCACTGACGGTGACGGCCACAACCCGGCGACTGCATCATCCAAATGAATTAAATCATTTGAAGTTTGTAAATGATAAAATGTTTTTTCGTAACCTGAGAGCAGCCTGGTTGCACTTTGAAATTGCACCACCATGGCCGAGCTCCAGGAAGCGATGATCGACCGCTGCATTGACGACATTTGGCACACGTTCGACCAAGACCAGAACGGGTACCTCGACCGCGAAGAGACGCGCGCGTTCATCGACGCCATGGCCGAGGCGCTGGCGGGCAGTGCCGGCGAGCGCCTCGATTTTGACGCGTGCTTTGACGAGTACGACATGAACCACGACGGCCGCCTCAGCCGCGACGAGATGCGCGTCTTTGTCATGCAGCTCATGGGCCTCTAACCCTCTTGCGTCGATGTTCTTAGCTGTTAAGAAAGGCTACCGTGGCTTGTCCGGACTCAGTTTTGCAATCGCGGGCAGGATGACTTTGCTCGTCACAGGGTGTTCTTCCGAGCGCGGCCGGGGTGGTGACGGCGGATGGCTCATCGGATGAATGTGCACGTGGCCCTGCACCGCGAGGCGCGTCGGTCCGCTCGATTCCACGACACTGCTGCCGCTCTTGACGAGCGGCTGCTTCTTGCGCCGCTGCGCCTCAAAGACTGGGTGCTCGTACACATCCTGGATCGTGAGACGGGTTTTGGCCGACGCATCGAGCATGAGCAGTAGCAGCTCCTTCATGGGGCCCGAGTAGAGCTGCATGGGTGGTGCGTCGAGGGCTTCTCGCAGCTTGGCGAGGTTCTAGCGCCGGTAAGGGGCGATACAACGCCGAGCGATCTCGTACCGCATGGAGGGTGTCGCGGTACAGCGCGCGGTCGCCGAGGACGTCGAGCGAGTACGCCGTCATCCAGACCGACAAGAAGAAGGCATTGCCGAGCAGGAGCTAGATCGCCGCAGAACAGTTCGTGATTGCTGGAAAGAACGGATATGTACCTCGAGCAGAATGCAGCCGAGGCTCCACACATCGGCCTTGAACCCGTCGTACGACTCGGCGAGGAGAATCTCGGGGGCAAAGAACCCGGGGCTTCCGCAAAAGTCGCTCAAAAACGCCTTCCTTCCTCGGGCGACGCGCGAGCACAAGCCGAAGTCGACAATCTTGACGCTGGCCGACTCGGGCGCAAACAAAATGTTCTCGCTACGACGCAGCATGACGCGGGACACGTGGCAGCGCCACGTACGGCTTGAGGTCGCGGTGGCAGTACCCGTGCGTGTGCAAGTGCCGGATTGCATCCACGATCTTGAACAATAGGGGGCTCGCTGTCGCCTCGGAGATGCCGTCTACGCACTCGGTGGTGGAGGTCCGCAGTCCACTTCCACGACGTACTTTCATGCGCGCCAAAGTACTCGAAAAGGTCTTTGCCGCCGCGGTCGGTCACCAAGTACATGTACTTTGGTGTGTGGATGACGTCGCGCAAGAAGAGGACGCTCGGGTGCCGCAGCAGCGGGTCCGAGAGCGCTGCGATTTCCATCTGGATGCGCTGTAGTGCAAGCACATCCAAGAGCTTGGCCTTCTCGATGACCTTGACAGCGAGCGGCGGCGACGGTGTGAACGACGGCTCGGCATGCGCGTCGTCTGGCCGCAAGCAACACGCAAACACAGAGGCGTACTGGCCCTCGCCGATCGTCGCTTGGATCGTATACTTGCCAATGGCGCGGACGCTTTCTTCGACGTTGTACGAGATGCTCGGGATGCTGGCCATGGACGGATCGTGCGCGGGGAGGTACTCCCAGAGCACGCGCTGGTGCACCTCCGAGACTCTGGTGTGCACAATAAGAAACACCTTCTTGAGAGTGAGTTGATGTACTTTGCGTATTGCGCTTGGAGCTCTTGGACGTCTTGCTGGAACTGGGCAAACTCGAGCTGCATCGAGTGGCAGCGGGTGTTCGCTTCGTCCAAGGCGGCTTCGAGCTCCTACACCAATGTGACGCTGATGCCGTCACGACAAAGTGCCTACGCGTAGCCGCAACGGCGCGGTCGGCAACAGCGCGTCGAGCTCGTCGTTTGCTCTTCGCACGACCCAGGAACACTAGTCGTCCATGATGCCGACATGCCACCATGGCGAAGGCTGTGTACCGCTTCCTGCTGCTGCACGGCGTGGCGGCGTACCTACGCAGTCGTTAGGCGTCTACCCAACAAAACGTGAAGCGTACTTCGTCCAGCGTGAGCACCGCGCCCGAGAGAGCTGTGATGCGGATGGCCGCGCCTGGCACACGTTAGGTACATCGCAACGACCTGACGTACTGGAGGCCAGGAGCGCCGCGATGCCTTCGGTGGCCGCGGGCGTCGGCGCCACGACGACGTAGACGTCCATGCGGCTGCAAAAATGGAGTTTCAGGCGTTCGGCGCCTCTAAGCTCTGAGAAACCGTCGACTTTGATTGCCACTAGAGACGCGGTTGCTCGATCGTCGGCCTTCAATTTCCTTGTCGACGTTTTCGGGCGCTACCAAGTCGTTCGTGTTAACGTGGTCGGTGTAGCTGCAATGCACTACGCAGAGACCGACCGAGATAGGCTTCACGACGCGTCATAAACAATGCTTGGATCGCCAACTGCCGCTTTGTAATCACGCCGTCCCGTCGTCCCCCGACGCGATTATTAATACTTGTTGCGTCTATGCACACAGCGTGTACGAAACACGCACCAGCCATCATTTCTGGTCGAACACATTTGTGTCATTTATAAATACATAGTCCTCGTCTTGGTATAGTTGCTTCAGTACCCAAACGCATCATCGTGGGTCGCTTCGCCGATCGTGGAAACGTCGTAGAGCGCGGAGAGCATGGCCGTGACGCGCTCGTAGAACGGCGACGCGTGGTTGAGGCGCAGATTGGGGCGGGCTTCCGCAAGTAAGACGACGCAGATCAGTAAAGCCCACAGTCGCATCTCGGGATAAAATCGCGACTGTTGAGCTCGTTCTTCGGCTGGGGGCTGGCATCGAACCCAACGTCCAGAGCAAGGAAAAATTGTTGTATTCCCTTGGTCCAGAGCCAGATCTGTGCAGTCTGACGATCTTGGAACCGTTCGACCAATCACGTGGCGTCGACCGCATATCCTGCTTCGCAATGGCCAATCAGAAAGCTCGCGCTTGCGTGATTGGCTCAAATTGGCGCGCCAGGTGGAGAACGCAATGACCAGACCGTTCCTTTGAGCGAGCAATGCCGGTGCTTGGCACTGGATGCTGCGCAGCCGCGGCGCCACCAACTCAGCGCCCATTTCCAATCTACCTGCAAGAAGCATGCGCCCGACTTCCGTCCTGTGGCTCGCGGCCGTCGCGGCAGTGGTTCTCTCGTCCACCGTTACTGCCCAACAGCAACAGCAGCTCCCCGCGGGGCTTGAAGACTATGTCAAGCAGCAGCTCGAGCAAGCCATTTCCCAAGACGTAGCCCAAGAAGTTGCGTTGGCCGTCGCGGAGCGTGTGGCGCTGGAGCAGCGCAACCGCCTGTACGGCACGTCGTCGCCGCCAACGACGACAGCCCCGACGTCCAGTAGCAGCCAGCCAGTCCTTGGCTCGCCGGCGCCCGCCGGCGCGACGCAAATCCAAGGCGAGCTTCGAGCGATCGCTCAGCAGCGCGCCGAACTCCAGAGGGAGCAAGAGACGCTCAACAAGGAGCGCATTGCACTCAACGAGGTCATCGCGCAGTTGCAAAATCGGTCGACGGCCCCGGCGACAATCGCACCGGTGGCAACCAACACGTCGGCACCGGTGACCGTCTCGGTGGCGTCGACGGCCGACGGCACCACCACGGACGCCGACGCCGGTGCGTCGTGGGGCATCATTGGCGTCTGCGTCGGTCTCGTGGCCGCCGTCGCACTCGTCGTCGTCGGCGTCAAGAAGCGCAACGCGATGAACGACGGTCTTGAAACGCCGGCCGAGTACGCATCGGGCTTCCACACGGCCGAGGCCGCCAGTGCGAGAGAGAGCAAGTGGGACTCGTACGAAGTCGTGACTCCTCTCGACATGGCCGGTGTGCCGCCTGAAGATCCGATTCTTGACGACACTTCCAATGCGACGGCGGACGTCGAGGCGCCAACGCAGCTGAACGTGCGTGGTCGTGAAGCGGTGCTCTAAGTGTACTACGTGTCGTTTTCGTATCTAATGAATGGAAGCGGCCCCGTCGGCCCGCCTTGAACACGTTTTAACCCACACTCTGCACCTGCATGCCTCAACGCACAACGCAGTGGACTTCACGACGCGCTCGAACGATTGCAGTGGGAGCTTCAACCACTTAAATAACACCAACGGTCGTCAAGCGTGCTAGGTGACGTCGAAATACACTTCTTGGCCAGGCTCGAGCGCCTCGAGGAAGCGGATGTACTTGGTCGATGATGGGCCGTCGCTGTCCAGGAGCGTTGCGTTGACAAACGGGCGCTTGCGCCCGCGTTTCGGCAGCGATGGCGCGTCGTCGGCCTTCTTCACATCGTACGCGTGCTTGGCCTTGCAGTGCGATTTTAGGTTGGAGATCGACGTCGTCTTCTTGTACGGGCATGTCGGCGTCGGGCACGAGTACTCGCCGGCCGCGTTCTTGTGCAGCGCAATCACCGGCCGAACCAAGACAACGTCCGGGCTCGACGGCGGCGACGGCGCCTTGACCTTCCTCGGCAATCGTGTGGTGACTGGCGTCGTGGCCCGCGGCTTGACGGGAGCCTTGGTCGTCTTGAGAGAGCGTTGTTGCGGCATTGGCGGTGGCGGCGGCGGCTGCTCGAGTACGACATCCTCTTCGTCGTCCGATTCCTCGCGAATGTGCAAGCCGTGTTCGCGGAAGCAGTGAAATTGGAAGATGCCGAAGTCGACGTGCTCGTAGTTGCACGTTGCCTCGGGACACTCGAACGGCTCGAGCGGGCGCTGACGCGGCGGCGACGCGGAGCTCTCGCTCGACGACAGGCCCGCGAGCGATCGCCGCGCCGGTCCACGTCCCCGCAGCGGCTCGTCGTCGTCGTCGTCGTCGTCCGAGTGGTAGCTGCGGCGGCGCGGCGGTGTCGGGCGCACCGAATGACGCAGGTTGTGAAAGGGGCTTGGGGTCGGTGCGACGTCGGGCGTCGGCGGCAGCGACGGCGTCTCGGGCGTCTCTGGGCGGTATGCGAGGCTTGTAAATGGCGCCGAGGCCCGTACCGGCGTTCGAGGCGAGTCGGGGCAGTCCCCATCTTTGGCCAACGGCGACAATGGTATTGCCTCGCCAACCGCCTTGTGTGCCAGTGTTTGTGACGTGCCACTTGTCATCATCGCCTCGGGCGGAGCGTCAGTGGCCGACCCTTGAACGATGGACGCAGTGACGCAAGGCTCGTCGTGGTCGTCGACGTCGTCATCGAGATAGTCGACGCCGTCATCAGGATCCGCGCCGGGCGATGGCGGCGACGAGAGTTTTAGGACCGACTCGTCGAGCGTCTGGAGCTGCACTGCCTCTTCCTCTGGCGGCGTAAACGCTAGCACGTCGTGCTCGGACGACGTGTCAAGGACCGATGGCACTGCATCCAAACCAGCGAGTCGAGGCTTCTCTTCAACGTCGAGGCCGTCGTCACCATCGTGGCTATCAAGGTTGTCGTCACCACCGAGGTCCGCGCCCTGCGACGCCACAACCAACTCACTTAGCACGTGAGACGGCGCTCCTTGCATCTTGGATGGTGACGACACAGCTGTCAGCACGTCGTGCTCGGACGACGCGGCGACAGGCGGTGTACACGACGCGGCGGGGATCGAATTCGGTTCGTGCCCCGGTGCATCACTGGACGTCGCCGCACTTGACGTCATTGCCGCCTCCTCGTTCTCATGTCGCACTCGCAAAGTGTTGGAGCGCTCGGCGGCGGACAGTTCGTCGGAGCTTGCGGCAGAGACGACGTGCGGTCGCGGTGACGGAGGAGTCATGGGCGCGATCGATGTAGCCTCCGCGGTCGCTGCGACGGGCCCGAGCACAACGGAGGAGGTGAGCTTAAAGGCCATTGCTGTGAGTTGTGTCGCTCGAAAGGCTACAGCGACACGACGCGGCGACGAAGTCGTTGGGACACGGCCTGGTGTTGGTTCGTCCGGGTGCAGTGGCATTGCGGGCGTCGGTTCCATCGATTGCCGGTGTGTCGGGGAGTTTGCTATCTGGACCGTTGGCATGATGGCGCCGTCGGTCTCTGGCGATGGCAGCTGCGTCAACGATGTAACATGCGTGGATGCAAGGTTCCTGTGCGGCGACATTGCGTCGCTCGCATGCAGCAAGTGACGGCCATCGTGCGCGGAAAGCATGTGCTGGACTCGGGCCTCTCGCACGTGCTCGCCGTCGATGGTGCTCGGCGCCCCGATTGCAATCCCAAGCTCGTGGCGCGCCTCCATGTGCACGGCCAATGACGCAACCTCGTCGGTCTCAAAGGTGCAGCGGTGCTGGGGGCACTCGAGCGTACCGTTCCGACCGCGCTGGATGGGCACGACGAGCCCCGACGTGGCGGCCGCAACCATGGCCTCGTCGGTCGCGTCCAGAGGCGCCGCGCGCACCACCTCGATGTCGTGTGCTTGC